GAGAGCGGTGGATGGAGGTGCCTTTGGTTGTACCTTATGAAGTTTTAAGCTAGCTTGAATTAATGGCTGTTTGAAAAGGTCATGTATTTTTGTGCCAGTGTTAACAATAATGTAGGATATGCTAACTGCTTAGCATTTGTTTTATTAATGGTAAGCTATTACCACCCATTCGTAGGAAATTGAGAAACAAATCGCAACAGACGTCACTCATCTTGAGATTCCAGCAGATTTGGCACTGGTTTTTGCCAGTATCCAAGGTTAGTGTGTTGTCCTTGTTCTGATTCGCCGATATGATTATTTTCCTCTTGCTCCACGATCAACATGTTCACATTATTTCGTGTACTTGCGAAATTAGGCTGGACCTTGACCCATGGATCGTTAGTTCATGAAAATAGAGGAGGCATAATTAAACACGATTATGCAACGTCAACGTTACCAGAAAATATCAACGACTTTCTCTTCTCAAAGTTTGCTCAAGAGAACTTCCAGGTAAGTTTTATATCTATATTTCCTTCTGATTTACCTCTATTTCGGGCCCTCGATAAATGTAGTGTTGCAGATGCTGATTGATTTTGGTTTTTTTTCCAAGTGATGATATGGTTTCCTTTTTTCACTAATTCGACTTTTTCTAAATTCCCTTAATTAAATTACAAAGAAACGCAAAAGATAGCTGACTCACTGAAGGGCAGACTGGTTGTAAATACGATTAAAGCTAGTGCGGGTTGTTGTGACTCGGTAGTTAGCACCACCACAGCGGACGTCATCTTCAGAGTCACTGCGCTCACACCTACAATAGACCTTTTTGAGGTGCAGTCGTGAGAGTTCTTGCCTTCCACCCTGTGGTCCTGGTTCCCGTCCTTGTCCCAAGGGTTTTTCGCCGTCCTTTTCGGTTTGTAGCCTTTACAAAAGCAATTTGTCAAAACTCCAATTTAACTTGGAAAAAGAGGACGAGGAAAGCAATTAGTAGTTGTGCACTCTTTACGAACGATTCTTCCCATAATTGTTGTTGTCACGTTGTGTTGTTAGAGTGAACATCAATGGCGAATGGTAAGGTCCCCCCTAAGAACCAGCTTGTTGCCTGTCAAGTATTCCGACAGTGTCATGGCCATAGGACTCTTTCAGCTGGTAAGAAGTTATTATTTTTTTATCTGCAAAGTGGAGCTAACTACGATAACACTGCATCATTTCTTGAGGTGTAGATTCACATGTATGGCTCTATTTTTACTTATTCTCATATCTTTCCCTCAAATAAATAGTTTTCTCCTCATTAAAAATGGAGCTGTTTGTTTAATTGTCTAGAAAGTATATTCTCCTGCTGCTAAGTTTGAGCCACAGATGGCTATTATATATAGTTGTTTAGGTTGGTGAAAGTATTTTCATCTCCCCCTTTCCGCGGAAAGAATTGGACCCTTTTCCACTACACTTCCTTCACCTGTAAGTGCAAAAACTGAAAGGTTTCTCGTTTGCTTTTCCTCTTACTTGTTGCAGGTCATGCGATTCATGGACGATAAATCTATAACAGATACAAAGGAATTTGCTGTTGGAAACTACCTTGTACAAATGGTAAGTGATTTTCAGAAACACAACCGGTTAGACAGTGGTAGATTCATCCCAAGAAGCTCAAAGTATTCATACTCAGCATTAGAAACTTCAACCATGAAGTATGCGGTTCAATACGAGTTGATGCCCTCTATTGACGTCAAATTCTTTTTGTTTCTTAAATTATGTACATCTGAACCCCGGTAACTCGAATTGCCAAGGGAAATTGAAACTACTTTGAGTTATCGGGATTTCGAGTTTGAGGGGGTTTTGAACAAAAAGTCCAGAAGCACTTGAATAAAAAGGTTTTGTGCTTATACATGTTTTAATGTAAGATTTCTAGAAATGTAAGAGCATAAAAATGACAAAACAAAAGAAGACAAAACAAGAGCATGAAAACCGCAAGTACTATAAAGTAGCTGCTCTTCAGAATGTTTAGTGCTAAATCTCTCTTTAACATTTGTTGAAAAATCTATTCACATAATTGATTTGAAAAATAGTCCTTCATAAGTCCCTGGCGTTTGCAGCCATTCTGTGTCTGTCAATAGAGTTACACAGCTTCTCAATGCCCGGCGGACTCAAAGTCAAGAAACTGACGAAGGGATGCAAGTGCCATGCGCAGTGAATTTTGAGGGGAAGAGGAAACATGTTTTTGTTCTCAAGAATGAACTGGGCACGATTTATAAGTAATGACAAACAAGAGATCGATTTCAGATTACGCGCCATTATTTCTCTTCGCCGGGAAGAACTTTCAAAACTGTTTGTTTACGGACATACAAACGCGTGATATCGACAAAGGTCAATTTGTCATAATATATAAATGAGATTAAATGTTATCTTCCGATGCAAAATGTTATGGTTCATTGGTCCGTAAAAGTGAAAATCGGGTTTCGAGTTATAGGGGTTTAAATTACAGCAAGTATATGAGGCAAATCAAAGAGAAATCGGGTTTGCTTCGAGTTAGCAAGGAATTCGGGTTACTGAGGGTTCTAGTTATCGGGGTTCAAATGTACAATCTTTTGTTGTTTATCTAGGGCATTTTTAAACCTGAACTTCGCGAAGAGATGTACTGCCATCTTTGCAACCAGACTTGGGGGAACACTTCTGATACGAGCAACGAACGAGGCTGGCTTCTCCTTGCATTGTTCCTCTGCTGTTTTGCACCGTCCACCAGACTCTACAAGCCTTTACTCAAGTAAGCAAAGGCTTTATGATATCAGTGTTCAAGGGTGTGGTCAGCGGCTAATACATCGTAATTTTGATCTAAATGTTGAGTGCGACTCACTCGGTGTTCATGTCTGTGACCGTGTTGGTAGTGCTGTTAATGCTTCATGTTGATATCCTTGAGACCTATTAATGCTGTCAAAAGTTTTCTATCTACTTTGACTTTAAACTGGATATTTCAATGTTGGAATTTGCCTGAAACTTGTGCTTTAATTTCTAATCAACTGCTTTCCTGTTTTTGTTTCAGGTACATTTCGGATCAAGCTTTCAACGGCTATAAAAGTTATTGTCAGCATAAATTGTTGTGTTGGGATATGAATGGGTCTCCTGTGGCACGATCACATCCGCCTTCCATGTTGGAGTGGCAAGCGGCAAAGATGAGAGTCAACATGGCTGCCGAGTGTCATTTTCCTGACGGTATGAAACACTCATCTGTTAGCAGCAGTATTTTGAACACAGGGTGGAAAAAATTTATACTTAAATGTTTACACTATCAAGTTTTCCTTAGTGGTCTAGATGCAGAAATTTAAAAAAAAAGTTTGTAATTCTCGAGGGCGAAACTTGTTAGTGTATGAAGCTTTTTAAGGACTTTCATTTAGACAATTATGAAGGACTTTAGGGAAATTCTATTCCACAAGTGTGGTTGAGTAGTTTCCCCCTCTAATCTATTATAGCAGATAAGTTATCCGTAAGTGGTGCCTTTAACAGAGATAACTTTCTGGTGTTAATGTGTTTTATAAGTGTGTAGGTGGAAGTGAAGGAACAGTGTATTCTTTTGCCTTGTTAAGATTGAATTTGAAATAATGAAAACGGAGAAATGTTTCATCCTCCTTTTTCAGGAGAGAGAAGGACGGCAGAAGTTGAATCTTGCACAACTGGAGAAGACCTGGCGAAATTGATACTACAAGACAGGTGAGCCAGGTTGAATTCAGGATAACTTCTCAGTATTTTAAATTCATTCATATATCGCTCCTTACTCGGTTATGGACTGAGCGAGCAGTCTTTATCTTTTGCTCTGCACTCCCAACTTAACTTTATTGAAAGTCATCTCGATAAATTGGTATTTTGCCACCCGAACTTATTCTCTCCACTCTTAATTGGTGTTTTTTCGTAGAAAGAAAAAAAAAATCAGAATAGTATGACCGAAATGTCGTGAATGTAATGTGTTAATGTGTTTGTTTTCAGAGGTATTGAAGATGCGAAGGGTTGGACTGTTGATTTGGAGACAAGTAACTGGCATTGTACTCTGGCTGGCAAGGATTATATTTTTGATCTTGTTTCCGAACTGGAATACCCACCAGCCTTTCCTCTGTCTCGATCCTCATCTCTTCTTACTGTTAAACCAGGCAGCAATATTCCTCCAGGTCAGCTGGAGACATTATCCAAGTAAGTAGTAATTTGTCAATTGCCATTACAAGCTCGATTCTGTTTAGTGGTGTTGTTTCCTTTGTTTGCCCTTTCGTGTGTCTATTGAATTGTACTTTGAATTGTTTTTTTTTGTACGGGATCACACTACATTCCTCCGGTCCTTCGGTCACTTTGTACGTTCCCTGTACGTGTAATTCCTCATTCGTTTCTTGTTTCATTCGTGTGCACGTGTACATTCTCTCTCTGTCCAACCATGATATTCTCTGTTCTCTTCACAGCCTTCACATGCCGCAAGCTCGTGGAAAAAGCGTCGCAGAAATTGCCCACAAATTCACGGTTGTGGAGCAGCAGCCACCTTCAGCGCCGGTACACATACAACGAGAAGATGCGTTGAGTGCAGCTACATCAGCAAGGATTGCAAGTGCTAATTACCAAGGACCGGTAGAAGACAATCTTGTACAAAGGACGAGATTGGGAAGCAGCTCTCCTCGTGTCGAATCAGCCCCATCTCCTCCCCTTCCAAATGCGTTCGTACCACCACCCCCTCCACCCCCACCCGCATTTGTGCCACCACCACCACCCCCACCACCACCGGTTGCTCCACCGACCGGGCAGGTGGTTCTTAGACGTAAGGTAACGAAAAAGGATAGCAAAGACAAGAAGAAAAGGGAAAGTGGTCTGTCTATGGCTGAAGTTATGGCAAAGGCGAAGAAAATGCGTGAGGCTCGTGAACGTGTGTTGTCAACAGGAAGCAGTACATCAGCCTCCAAAGAAATCAGTGAAGATCCTTTTGAATCTGCAATGCAAGCCCGGGCGGTGCAACTTAAGTGCAGAAAGCCGGAGATGCAGCCAGCTCCTCGCCAAGAGGAAGACAGTGAACTGATGAGAGAGATGAAACGGAAGGCACAGAGAGCTAGTCGGGCTTTTGTAGAAACCGAGAAAGGGCCACTTCCGTCATCCGACGACAATGTCTTTGTCCTTGACATAAATGGTGGAAGGCCCACAACGGACAATGTTTCTATTTCTAGCAGGGAGGGAGGTGACAATGACTCAGTGCATTCGCTGGAAACTGGAGTTCGATTGGAGTCGCCTAAACAGGTGAAAGACTTTGTAGACAGTTTATTTGACCCTGTGCTCTCACAAGGAGTAGAGGGTTTATCAAATGAGACGGCATTACAAGGAGCTATGAAAGGCGGCGGAGGTGTGAACCAGCCAAACAACACTGCAACAGCTAATGGTGGTACATCATCAGGATCAACAGCACCTGCTGTGAATGGACAGGCTCACAGTCAAGGGAATGGATTTAGTGTACATCCAACCGCTCAGGCTCCAGGAAATGGTTACCCAGGAATGATGCAAACAAATGGTTTCCCAGGAATGATGGGTATGCCTACCATGTACTACGGAATACCACAAGCAAATGGCCCCTTGGGTATGCCACAGGCCAACGGGTCCCTGGCTATGCCTCAAGCGAATGGCCCCGTGGGTATGCCACAGGCCAATGGGTCCCTGGCTATGCCTCAGGCGAATGTGCCACTCTTGGTTCCCCAAGCGAGCGGCGGGCCTGTGTTGGGTGGTCCATTATTCCAACCCAACATGGAAACGGCAATGCTGGCAGCTCAGCAGCAAGTTCTTATTGAGCGCCTGATCGCGCAGCAAGCACTCTTGCAACAACAGCAAACGGTAGCCTCTCAGAAGCAGCAGGAGCAGCTTATGATGCTCGCCAAACAGCAGCAGTCTCAGTTGGAGCAGATGCAGTCCTTTCTTGCTGCTTCAAATCAGCCTACACATCAGCAGTTAGAGGAACAAACAGTCGACGGCCCTGCACCTCCTTCCGTTGGCGCTGCTACAAATGGCTATGCAGCGAGCCACATGGATGGGACCGTGGCTGATGTCCCTTTACCTCCGCCTGAATTTTCGGACGTTGGGCACTTGTTGCCTCCTCCAGCGTACGCCGTTCCTTCACCTCAGGTGCCCGTCCCAGCACGTACGTCATCGCTTCCTCCACCACCACCACTATCCACTCGTGAGGAACGATCCTCGTCTTCTGAGGAGTTTCCAGCGCCACCTCCAGCCATTTCTGAAAGCACAGTTGAGAATCTTGACTCCCCGGAGAGACCGGGGCTTAAGAGGCGAAGCACTGATAAGGTAGCACTGGCTATAGCTGCCTTAGAGGGGAAGTCTGGAGGGGAAGAGCTCCGCTCTCCTGGACCGGCGTCTCCTGTCAAACACGGGGAGAGTTTTACTTTTTCCAGCGAATCCTCCCCCCGAAGGGAGAGTGCTGCCAAAGAAAGACCAGACTTTCACAAACGAGCTTCTTCGTCGCTAAATTTTGTTGTATTGTCCGACAGAAACAACGTTACGGCTCTACATCCAAGGTGTACTGGACCGTATCTTTCATATAGTCATGTCAAGTGGAAATTCAACATTCGCAAAGAGGTGAGTTAACAGCAGTCGAGCGAAATCTTGTTTGCATGCTTAGAGCCGTGATAGATTTGACGAGCGGTGGCGTAATTTTATGTTCTCTTTCCATTTTAGGTTTTCACGGCAGACGAGAAGTTGGACAATAATCTCAAGCAGCGGCTGATATTTCTACAGGTATGTACAAATATTTCGCTCGTGTGTACCCTAGCTTATCAGCGTTGAGAAGCTTATATTGATGGATACGCTTTTTAAGTATTTCGTTAACTTTTGTTTAAATTCATTTTTCAGTGAGCCAGGAGATTGCAAAAGCTTTCGCACATTTAGTTCGTGTTCCTAGAGAAAAGGGCAAAGTTCTACCAATTTCGAATAACCTTTTCAAAATTCTGGCCCGAAAACAGGCTAAAGGGGGGTACAAGTAGGGCTGGACGGAAAATTGTTTTCTTATCCAATTTACTCTCTGATTTATTTTCAGATACTTCGCGATTCGTACTCAAATTGCTGCTGTAAAATGTCACAAGAGGATTGCAAACGGATGCAGCTTTTATTACGTAAGTTTAATAATAAGCACACTAAATACTTGGGATTAGCTGAATTGCTTCGTCTCCTCATAAACAGACCATGATTCGTCGCATCCTCTCATCCAGCACTTCGTGATCGGGAACCTAGAGTGCTGAATATTTGCGCTTTGCGTCTTCGTTCGTCTTAGCAGTACTTATTTCCAGGACCCTTCGAACACCGACAAGATCCTCATCCTTTATTGACAGGCTTATAACATGACATGCGTTCTGTGTGCTGCTAGGGTCAGAAATATGGTGACTTTGAAGCTCGATTACCGCCAGGAACTGACCAACAAATGACATTCTCGACACGAAAAAAACAAAACAAAACAAAAGCAAAAAAAATACAAAAAGCCAGTTAATTGAAGCTCTCTCGTCGTAAAAAGAGAGGATGATTTTACTCATCCTGTTTGGACTGTGGAACAATGAACAAGTTTGAACCCTCTTCGAAAAGTTTAAACTCAAACTTTCAAGAGCGAAATCTGAAGCTCTAGGGTTCAATGCCACGCTGAAGACTCAGGTTTTTGCCTTTGTATGACGCTCAGGAAAACACAAATGAGAATTAATTTTGTTAAGAAATCCTTTTCACTTGCGCCGTTTGATTCGTTATAGAAAAATATGGCATCACACCGGAGAGGCCTCACTCAAGTGCTCCAGTGGAGGACATCATTATCGAGGCTGCCAGACAGCTGCCCCTCTATTTCAGCCGGTTCTTTGTCGTTAAGGTAGTTATTCCATGTCATTTAATCAGAGCTCACACTGCAGAGCGGTATTTGAATGATGGATTATTGTTTTATTTTAGGGTCAGAATGAATTGCCGGATGTGCATTACTTAGCTGTGTCTGAACACGGTGTCAAATTGGTAAAAAGAGAGAAAATAACTGATGAACTGGAAGTCATGAGAAACATCCCGTAAGTTGCTTTGTAATTCCTTTCTTTAAGACACTTTTTAATCTTTAATTTGGAGTATTTCACGCGAAGGCTTTAACTGTCGATAATATTTGGAACAGTTTTTAAATCCCTTAATAACGTCTCGTTTTACTTAGTTGCTATGATTAGTTCTCATAACAACTTTTAATTTGTTTTAACTTGACGACATAAAGGATAGTGGATTAATTTCCAGAGGAAGAGACCCTTCTCTAATATTGCAGCTGAAAAATCTTACCGTTATAATATCAATTTTTCTCTGAAATCTACATAGAACGGCGCATGACAAAAATTTTAGGGGTAACTTCAGTACAAAAGCTAATGCGACAATTTCAAAAGTTCTTGCTTCATATTTTAAGCTTAACACGCGAAGGATATAGATCTGTAATAAGTCTTGGGTAAGGTCCTCAGAAACGTCTGTGTTGAAACTCCCAATCTTTGAAGCTGAGATTTTAAGGTTCTTCTCACCAGGTACACGGAGTTGGTCAAGCTAAAGGTCCTTAAGGATAAACTGACCTTGACGCTCACAAAGGAAGTTAAAGTCGTTGTCCATACAGAAAGGGTAAGTTGACTTTTGTTCAATTAATTCCACACAGTTCGTCGCGTTCTAAACGAATGTATAGATTGGTTTTTTGGAAGTACTGATCAATTAGTTGTTTATTTGATAGGCGGCAGAGGCAAAGCACATTATTGACACATACCTCAGACATTTGGAAAAGGTAGACGTTTCTTGTGCGATATACTTAAAAAGTCCTGAGTACTGTTTTTGGATCTGCTGTAATAGATATTCTTGTTGTGGTAGCTGAAATACTCGTTATGGATTTCGTTTCTCAAAAGAGAGAACAAAGAGATTTTTGACGGTGAGGTCTCATGCATGCGTTCTAGGGTACAAGTGGTTGATAACGTTAATGATAAAAGTTGGATTTCCCCCTTCCCCATTTGATGTTGCTTAAATGCTAGTGGAACGCAACTCCCTTTAGTTTGGTCTTCATTCTTATTCATATTTCTTCGCAAACGTAACGCTTTGAAAAACTGCATAGTTCTTCAGCGAAATTAGGAAAAAATGTTTGATTGATTGATTTTCAGGAAGTGCAGTATGTCCGTGCGCTTTATGATCACGTGAGCCCCGAGCCTGCTCTTCTCAACTTCAAGAAGGGTGACGTCATAAAGATTGTGCGTAAAGATGATTTGGAGGAGGGTTGGGTCTATGGTGTGTTCAACAACCAAGCCGGCTATTTTCCTGCCGATTTCGTCACACACATTCAAGAGGTATTGTGCAATTAGACCACTCTTTACTGCATTAATTTTTCTCGAACTTTCTTTTGCGTATAACTATCTATGGAGGTTCTCATTACTGTTCCAAGAACAGAGTGCATTTTAAATGAGTTTCGTAAAACCTAAACCAAAGTAATCAGAGGAGCCAGTCAGAACCAAGGATTTGTCCCAGGGGAACCAATAGGATCTCCTGGTTAAAACACGCAAACCCTCTAAAGCATGTGAAAACGCTATTGGTCATGGTCTACTTCGCTCTTTAAATCTGCCTGGCTGAAGTGCTGTAAAAATGAGCAAAACATATTTAACGTTTAAATGTACTCAAAAGAAGTTTGGCATTTTTTATAGCACCATAACCCTCGACAAAATGTCATAAATTTTCTTTTGAGAAACTTCTTAAATAAGCCTTTCGTCTAACCTGAACGATCTGACTCTTGTTCCTCTCTTTTTTTCTCCTACTACCTCTCTTCTTATCTTGCTCTTCTAAGATATTTAAGCCCAGGCGCAATGGAATGGTACTCATTGCACTCGACAGGCATCGTTCTCATCCAGGATACATCTCTAATCTTCTACCTACATCTTCTTCTTATCAACTTTCAGTATGTGCTCTGTATTCTCTTTATTATTCTGTAAAACACTATATGCTGTGATTTAAAAATCGTCAACCTATTCTTTGACGCACAACACTTCCGAGCGTCTTGGGAAAAGCTCCAGGAACTTTTCATTCAAAGTATAAAAGCATTGACTCAAACAAAATTTTGTCTGGTTATATTAATGGGTACGTGTTTCTGAATGTGGGTGCCTCGTCCCTCCTCTTCTCTCTAATACATTTTTGGATAACCGATCACTGCAATCTCAGTTGTATTCTATCTAATATCTTGGAATTGCTCACATGGGCTCAGATAAACTGCCGAGAAGCCTCCTCGCTGGTAAACCTATTGAATGGATTTAGCGAGTCCACAGTGGAGGTCGGCGATGTGGCTTTTTTAAACAGTTTTTCCCTCTTTTTATACATTTTACCATTACTGAGGTAATGAAAATTGTTTGATAGAGCGGGGTTTTCCTTACAAAAGGAGTTCTTCGAATTTGGTTTCCCTCTTACAACTAAAACGTCCCTTCGATGTCAAAATTTCACCCGATTTCACTTGCATTTAAGTTCAGGTGACAGTACTAAACTTTCCTGAAAATATAAAACTGAAATTTAAAGTGAAGTATGTGGAATTCAAGTTTGCTTTTTTCATACTCCAGGACCCTCAGGCAGTAGCGTCAGCTCGCCCCGCCACCATGGTGAAGGCGGCTTCCATGGGAAGTTTACTGAATGTAGATCCTGACGGGCCAATGACTGGAGAGATGCGTCCAAGGACTGGTAGTGTCAAATCTACCAAGTCTGACAAGTCAGAATATAACTCCGATAAACATTCCATGATGGAGTTTGCCATGCAATACTTCAGACATGGAAGGTAATGACTTTCACTTGGTCGTTTGAAAGACCTGTCCACGCGAATTTGGATTCCTCCAAAAGAGTAAAATTTAATGTGGTTTGATTTTGTGTTGCTTTTCAACAGAGAGGCTGTTGTGCGAGCAGAGGATGGAACTATCCGAGGTACAATCAAGGTGCGAGGAACGCTGGGAAAATCATCCAAAGGTTGGTACGCATGGCAGTCGGCTGGTAGCACAATGAGTTGTCGGCTGCGGTGTCATGTCAGCGGAAGTAAGCCTTACCAGCAAATGCTATTGTTCTCAATGGGAAAGAACACTATAACGTGCATTGCAAGTTAACTTAGAAAAAAACATTTATTCGGCGATGTATATAAATGCCATTTATCCCATATCTTTTTTCAAATTTCTTTTCCATTTAATTGTTCAATTGTTTAATTGTTTACTTTTCTATCTATGTTTCCTCATACAGCAAGTCATAAGAAAGACAAGGAGGAGTGGTCGTGGAGTGGTCTCGCTGAACTTGTCAAATACAGCAGAGTAAGTTGGTTTTCATATCACTTCTACAAACCAGCTTAAGTATATTTTTAACTTGTCTATGATAACTGCTTGCGATTCGTTCCAAGGCACTGTTGGCGCTGTTACCACTGGTGACTTTTGCGCCATTAATGACATGTTTTCCTGCTCTAATTGTTCATTACATATTTTCCCGCCTTTGCACTGCCACTTTTTTTCCCGCGCTTTCAGTTACTTTTCCCTTTATACTGCTGGACAGTCGTTTCGCCGGCGTAGCTCCTGCCTAAAGTTATTAACATGCTTTTTCCGCCTTTGAAATGCTTTCAATTTTTCAACGCGAACTGTTATTAACGTGACGTCCAGGCTCTGTTTGCATTCCTTGGACGTTTTTCCATGTTCTCCCTTCCTTGCACTGCTGGTGTGTTTTCTAGTTCTTAATCTTAGTTAAGTGTTTCCCCGCCTTCGCATTGCTTCAAAGTTTTCTCACGCTTACCTTTAGTTCGTGTTATCATTCTTTTTGTCTAGGTGCCCATCCAAGCATCCCTTATACAACGAGAATCCCCGCAGATAATAAATAAATTAGCCGTGGAAACTTTCCAAAGTAAGTACCTTGCTGAAAAAAATTTCTTTTACCAGGTCCTACAATTTTCACTTAAGTCGATTTGCTATTACAAATCAACGATAAATCTTCTAGTTGTTTCACATGTTTCTGTTATGGTTTTCTTGCAGCGATTATGAAATTCATGGGAGATTTACCTTTGTCCAAACATCAAAAGGAAACCGAGCTTGTGTTTAACTTGCTTAAAGTTAGTATAAAAGTTTCCTGCTTTTAATCTAAATAAAACACAGAGCTGTGTTATCGTCAGTCATGGCTCCCTTTTTCCCTTGATTTAAAGATTTTGGAGACAAAAACATAACCTAGTTATGGCGTATCTCTTCGGAGACCTGGAAAATTTCTGCGTTTGGCTCTTCATAGGTGTCACTTGATTAAACACATAACGGATTTTATCTAAACTAGGAACGCGATCCGGGGAATAGGAGTCTGGGGCCAAAAGTAGAGTACGGATGACTTCGTCTGGTCGTCTCGATCTTATTTTGGCCTCCAAATGTATTCATGTGTGTTGAAGAGACAATTACAGTTTTCTAGATTGCTTCTGTGTTCTCAATATTACACATTTATTTGCTCTTAGACCTGTCGTGAAATTCCTGCATTAAGAGACGAAGTTTATTGTCAGCTGATCAAGCAAGTCACCAGTAACAAGAGTCCCAAAGCGTAAGTGATCGTGGCTGCCATTAACGTCTTTTTCGACAGGGGAGCTTTGTTCGCACGCTGTCCATAGCTTTCGCCCTTTCGAATCAAAACACCTTGCATTTCGATATGTTTTGTCTGAGGCTCTTATGCCAGTTCAAAAACCTGAGGTTTGCACCTCGGTAATTTCCGGAAAAGGTGATTTCCTTGTTTTGTTTCGATTTGAGTACGAAATCTCATTCTGCCTTTCTTCTTTTGTAGGGAAAGTGCAAGTCGAGGGTGGCGGCTAATGATTATTATCACAGCTTACATTGAGTGTTCAGATGTTTTCAAGCCTTTCCTGGTTACGTTCTTACAGAGTACTGCTAGTGATCCTAAGAGAGAGTTCCACGGTATGTGTATTTTTTTCTTTTTTTTAGTTCTAAAAGCTTGTGACATTTGAACCTAACCGAATCACTTCACCGCGCAAGCTTCTGACGATCTTCGACGCGTGAAACAACGAAAGAAGAATGCCAGAGTTAAACCATGCATGCATCATAACAATGCGTCTTTTCGCCACAATTTTAAGTTTTCCCTTTGCTAGCCAGTAATTGGATTGTCATGACTTTATCAAGGATCTTTTGAGAACCTGCAGATTTGATAAAGTAAAATTATTTTTTTGCTTTTTAAGGTGCTGCAGCTACTTGCGAGATGAACCTGATGAAGACGTTTAAGTATGGTGGACGAAAGAGTCCCCCCAGCAAGGAGGAATTGAATCAGCTTGTGGTAAGTTTGATTATTATTTTAATAATACTTTACTTTAGTACTTTATTAAGTATTTATTATTATTTTTTAGAAACAATGCATTGATGTATTTTCTTTCTTGCTAAGGAATAAACCTTTTCCATTATACTACCGTTAGATAATGTCAAAATTATATGACTTCGACATTTTATTATTTTCATTATGTTTTGTTGTTTAACTCGTAGCAAGGGCGGCAAACCAAGCGTCAGGTTTTCATTATTCCTGGAGGAACGCGAATGCTGAAAGTCCAAACCAGTTCAGTAAGTAGTTATCTCATCTATTTCTGAGACGAGCTTTTTATTTGATTCCTCTGTAACCTGATTTGTCTGTCTTCACTTAGACTGGTTTTGACGTCATCAAGGAGATGTGCGTTGACATGGATTTAACATCAGAGGTCCACTACAAGGAGTATGGACTGTTCAGCTACATAGAAGGACGTAAGGGCCTTTATTGCTTCTGAGAGTGTTTTAAAATGAACCAAAACTGTCTTGCACTGAATGCAGCGCAAATGAGTGCCAGAGCACTGGATTGAAATCTGGTTTTCTTAGGTTCAAATCCTTCACTCTTTCACTCAGTTGAAATTGTTTCTCGAGAGACGCGAGTTCAACTAATCGTGATTTTATTGCTTAACTAATACAGTGTGATTGCATAAAAATAATCGCCCTAAAACTATTAAGTAATTCGCAAGTATTGTTATACACGTTTCCCGAAATAAGGCCAAGTTTAGTTTTCTTTCTCTTGTTTGTAATTATTCAAGAAACTAGTGCCGCTCTCTTAATCAGAGATTAAAAAAAAAAAAACAGTACCACTCGTGATTTCCCAAGTCTCAGGCTCTTTATATGTGTTTCCTCTGAGTTCCTTTTCGCTTGTCAAGAATTTTCATCTTTTCATACGAGCTGTTTTTGATTACCTTTTTTCCGGGTTGATGACACACACACAGAGTCTTAAAGCGCTCCATTTTCATACTCCCTTTTGTTTTCCCAGCAGAGAACTTGATGCTGCCGGTCCAAACTACAGATTACATAATGGATGTAGTCAGTTCCATGGAGAGACAAGGGATCGCTTACAGTTTGTGCTTCCGCCGTGTTTTATGGCTACAAGGCCTGAGACTGGATAATGAGCTGCTGGTTAGCATCATCTACCATCAGGTACAACCAGTCATACAGGTTTCAAAACCTTTACAGTTGCTGAGGTTACCTAGAATGTTTTTGTCCCGTGCTTGTGGCAAGACGAAAAGACATATTTTTCGTGTTTAAGTTTTGACTGTCTGGTCTCTTTGCAGGTATTGCCAGACTACATGGCGGGTTATCTGATAGGAACACACAGTCGATCCTTTGGCGATGCACAGGTAACGTTTCAGAATTCTATGTCTTTATATCACCTCCCTTGTTCTGAACTGTTTCTTATCTTTTTTATCAGCAGATATCTTAATTAAATAAGCATACCGCTTTTGCCTTCCAGTCACAATTCGACTTTAGATTCATGGCAGGCAGTCAGGCAGACGGGCACGCAGGCAGTTTTGCTGATGTTCTCTTCGATAGCATGTACCGTCCTTATCCTGATAATTAACCGTTTGCATTTGTCTTCAGTTTCAGAATCTTATTGCTGAACTTGGAGCGCTTCAGTATCGAGCCCGTGATAAATCAATCCTTCATTCAAACCAGTAAGACCTTATTGACTTTGCACTGCATTCTGTAAGAGTTAACACTTTGGTCCAAAGCAACCCTCAGTTTACTGAACCTGTAACTTGTTTGTTTTTATTCAGTTCAGAAGTACAGACTCTAATACCAAGGGGAATGTTAGAGAGACTACGGCCTCAACAGTGGATAATTCTTATACAAGATCACTTCAGGAGCTGTCACAAAATGACCCCTTATCAAGCTCGCCGGAAATTCCTTGGTACGTACTTGGACAGAATTGTTGGAAATCATTTTGTGATAGAACAGTTTTCAACAACGCGTTGAAGCGGTTAATGAAAAGAAAGGCTAATATCATCGTTATCCAACGAGAGCCAAGTGAAAACCTGCAAACCTCTTAAAGCCCGGGAAAAAGCGAGTGATCGACACGCGATTGGTATTAGTTTTTACATTTAATTGGTTAAGAGAGTGGCATTTTACCAATCACAGAGTTAAGTTTATCAAAACCAAAGCAATCCCGGATGACGTGCGACTCTCAATGTGATTGAACAACTGGTTATGCTGAGGTCCAGAAACAGTACGGAACGACAACCAAAACAATGAATTATGATTTGAACAAGACTCGAGCATATTTTGAAGCTTGCATACCCCATCTATTGTGACTGAAATTATGCATGATAGAGTCATATCTTGAAGTACACTATTGTTTTCGGGCTGCCTTATTCTGTATGTGAATGCTTGTTTTCACTATTTTTCTCGCTGTCACCTAAGCTTATAAGAACACATTAGTTCGATGATGAGAAAAGCATGACATTTTCCTTGCAGAAACTGTCACTAGGTGGCCATATTTTGGATCAACTTTCTTTGAAGTTAAGGTAAGTCTCAAATGGTACAGTACAGGTTGATTTGAATGTGTGGGAGCTACCCTTAGTTTGTAGGGGTAATCTCAAGTTCAGTTCCTCTGGCCGTTGAAATAAGGAATGTTTCTCATAAGCTTGAAGCGTTCATTGATCAATCGTCAGTGTCGCTTTGTACAAGTTCGATTATAGTTCCTCGAAGACACGTTTTGTTTATTTATTTATTTATACGACGCCTCTGTTTTACTGCATTAAAAGAGATCGCTTACCGAGATTTCTGTGTTTTTTTCTGGTCGTTTGTGTTTGTTTTCCTTGTATCAATTTTTGAGTGCAATTCTATCTTTCACTGATTTTTACTGTTGTTTCAATGTTGGTTTTTAGAAATGCAGCAATCCAGCTGTTTCCGGTGATTGTATCGTGGCAGTCAATAGAACCGGAGTTCATTTCTTGAGTCAAAATACGATGGTAAGTGAGAAACTTGTAGTAATGTAAATTAGAGATATTTTTTTAAATACGACATTTATCCAGTATCACCATCCACTTTAAGAAGCAACAAAACCGCAAAGGCACAGGAGTAGTGAGTGATGGAGAAGATTGTTGCGGATTGTAAGTGACAAAAACGACCACAAAATATTGGTGCAGTTAAGAAAGAAAACATCACTAACACGAGACGAACAAACGTAAAAGGAGCGTAAAGACAATTAATAAAGATTATTTAGGATCGACCTGAAAAGCGTGGGCTGTATTTTCCATGGTACCCCAACCTAGGTATCACTCCCTTGAGTATGTTTAAAATGTAACTCTCATCTTAACGACTTATCCAGAATCTTCCTGGCAGTTTCAAGCTAGTGCCTTTGTTTCACAGCCACCTCGTTCGCCTACTTCTATTATCAACTTCGTATACCTGATTTCTTCCTGATTTATTTCAGCAAACGATGCTGAGCGAGCCATTTGTTAGTATTATCTCCACGCGGCTTTTAATCTCGGACAAAAAGAGACAGTTCTTGGATCTTAAAATTGGAAATACTATGATGCAGAAAGTCACCCGCATGGAAACAACTCAGGTAATTAGACGACCAAAGCTTGCTTGTCATCAATAAGGTGTTGAGTTCGTGGGTTTGTTAGCATCCGGCGTAGCCAATCAGTGACGTTAGTTTATTGTATCGCATCGCACCCATCGCAAGTTGAAGTATGAACAATACTGCATGCAGCCGCTCAAAACGATAGTCAGAAGGGTCAATCATTCATTGAGTTGTGCTCTCGGCTTTCGCGTGATCGAGGGTCAAAGTTGCTAGTATTCGGATAGCTAGGTACCACAATTTGGAGAAAGTGTCTGGATTCCCTCTTAGACCTTCAGAGATAGCATCTGAAGAAATATGTATAAAAAATGAAATTGTGTTTTTATATAACATTATTACCTTAAACTTGGTCGTTATTTGAATAACAGAAGTTATAACTAATTTACCTTACTACTTTCTAGGCTAAAGAAATTTCCAATCTTATCTACAAGTACGTGGCCCTACATTCCTCGGTGAAACAAGAAGGCCAAGGTCAAGGCCAATGATTATATGGAATGATGAAATCTTAACTTGAATACCTCAAGTTACCGATGAAGTTAAATGGTTACCTCTTAAGATCCTTAGACATTCATCGCTTAGAGGTGATCAAGGAGAAACTCTTCTCCCCTCATGAATATTCCTACGTTCCCATTTACGTTTTTTAGATCACCCCAGAACGATCTAGAAATATCAGATCCTGTGACGGACTTTTTTAGGTGAGCATAGCATGGCGTGACTATTCTCTCTCTGTCAGAGCATATACAGAGAAACGCATCCCATGCGCTAAATCATTTCTCTCCCGGAGAGACTAATTCAACAGTAACAATAGCTGGAGAGATGTGAATTTTGGAATAAGCCCAGTAGGCAGGCTCCATCTCTTTGCTTGATCATCTCTGTTCAAGGCTGAAACTTTGCATTGCAAATTATTTACAAGATGAATTTATGTACTACAGCAGTTTACATATACCTACCATTCGTGTAATTTTTTAAGGAAAAAAATTGACCAATAAGAATTGTTCTGATGTGGACAAAATTACAGAATTTTTGTACCATTAAAATTTTGAATAAATTTAATTAGGTGAAATTAAGAAACAAACTCCCTGATATATCTTTCTGTGAAGTTAAATGTGTATATATGTTCTCAGTATAGTGTCTATAAGTGTATGGGCAGCTGAAACATGAAGATGTATCAATAACAAGAATAATTTTTTTTATGAGATGAATTCGATTCGCACAATGTATTTCCAATGAGGTTTTTGATGAAGTGCGTTTGTAATGGTTTAATGTGAATAAGTTTGTCAACGAGGGTGAAATTTTAGCTCTTCTTTTGCATTTTACTGGGTAACATTTTTGTAATGTTAAGTTTGTTATTTTTTTCTATTTGACGTTTATTTTGTTTTCATTTATCGATGATGGACTAGGACTTTGAACGTGGCCTAGTTAACTAAACGTAGCGGAGTGAGGAATGTATTGTATAGATTAGAGGCTGTCTTCTCTATTTTTCAAATTGAGAATCTGTCCAGTAGTGTGACGTCGTTCATTAGTAATAACAGTAAACTTTGTATCGTAGGCTCTAATGTTCAGAACCATAGACTAGTGCTAGCTTGGGCGAGGTTGCGAAGTTCACGAGCAAACTAAGTCACCAAGTTTTTCGGGAAAATGAGGCTGCTATATTTACACAAGGAACAGTCACATATTGTATCGAATATTTTTTTACATTAATTTGCGAGATATTCAGACTGTCTCCTAAAACTAAAATAAAAAAATAATATTCATCTCACAAACCTTATAGTTTGTTGACAAATCAATATGTATATTAATGGTACTTTGCAAAACAGTTCTTCAACTTCTCGCGAGTACCACTATATAAATCTTAACCTTATCAATATAAATGCAACTCAAAAATGTAGTTGTGAAATTACCTCGAATACAGAAGCCCCAAGGGTGAAATTGTGTTATTCAGCGATTTGTAGTGAGTTTTTGGGTGAGAAGTAAATTATTGTATTCATCTACTCATTTTGAAATGATGTGGCAATTTGTGTTGAAATACTTTTCTATATATGGTCAGCAATAATCAATTAATGTAATGAGCAGTAATTTATAATTTACAGTAGGTTAGATTGGTATTATTAAAATGTAATTCAGGCAAATGTTAGATAAGAAAACAAACCTACAGTGGAAATTTTTTGTGTCAGGTGTAGTTTATTTTTATAATCACTTCAATAATTTTGTTTACAGTTTGAATTGCACGACTTCGCCGACAATCGCACGTTTCTCTTCAAATGTTTTACAGGAATCATATAGTTCGTACGTAACAGCGCATTGATTAAAATGAACATTTCGTTACCGTTTGCTTCCTTAATGTCTTTATCCATCGACAGAGAGTTTGATTGCTCGAGATGTCTTTTTTGGCGACTTGGAATAATCATTTTATTTATAAAAATGGAACCCTTATTAAAACATCCTGTATTAAAAATCCAACTCCAAACTGAAGACCAAAAATTAATAGGCTTTTATTTGAAAATGAATCCTTGTTACATTAGTAAATTGGCTCAATAAGTAAATACCTGATGTCCACAAATTAAGGAGCTTGTCGTTTATGTCTGACTCTCTGTGTAATTAGAGGTACCTTGTTATTCATTTTAAATCAACATCTTTGTCTTATTCCTATCGATTCTCTTAGCGCTCGACAAAGAATGCCTTGGGACCGCAAAAAAATGTGATAATTTTACAACAATGCTAGTGATAGTAATTAATAATGGTAATAGGAACGAGTGGAGTCCAATTCGGTCTGTAATCTTACGAGTGATGAATAAAATCACGATTTGTCAATCACGAGTATGATTACATAGGTAATTAAGTAACAGCCTGTTCATTCGACCGCCACAAAAGGCTGGTAGCTATTCAAGGAATGAGTCTTATTGATTGGTTTACACTTGTCATGTGACTGCAGAAAATAAGCGGGAAAGTGAAACGCTCCGTGCCCCGATTACCTGGCTGTCGCCAGGTTGTCCCGATTATTTGGCTACATGTTTTGATTTCCTTTGTACGACTTGCAGTTGATTCAAGGAACGTAGAGGACGAAAGGAGCCATACGACGTAAAACCGAGTCTTAGTAAGTGTATTATGCCGAGAATGTCCCAGCTTCTGACATGGGAACGGTAGAATGAAATGAAATGTTAAAATGTTCCCAGTTTTAAAGTGCCTCTAATAAGTAGTGTGCATGCCGTTCAAAGCCGGTAGACCATGTCGAAGCCTCTCATCAGAGAAAGTACAGATTTGGCGGCAACTTTCAAAGAAGGAGGTGTGGAGGCGAAGTATAAATTTCCCATGCTGTGCTTCAATTTTTCCTTCTCTTCCCACGGTAGATACCAAGACAGACAGACCAAGTACGCTGGGAGATTCTCGGATGACGCTAACTCTCGGTTGTCTTTGACTGAAAACATGTGCACCAGAGAAAAAATGCCAAGCTTCTGTGTTGATTTGGATCCTGGCAAGGTGAATTGGCTTTTCTGTCTTTCCATCACACAATCTTTGTTTTCAGACAAAAAAGATTGGGTCTTAGCTGTGGCATGATGACATTCGACCTTTTGAATGCTAGTGTTCACTTGTTTGATTCTCTGAAAATGTACAGTCGTCCCAATAATTGTGACTTTGGCTTCTTCAGTCACATCAGCCTCCAACTGTGCACAAGCCTCTGGTCTTTGAGGAGATTCACATTTTGAATCTCTTTCATCATTGTTAGGTTCAAGAGGATTTTTGGAATCGGCCTTGATCTCCACAGCACCCAGTGCTACACCCAAGTCAGTAATGATGGATTTTGATGACTGCCTCTCTAGAAAATGATTTCCTTTAACTTGAGTTAAATCCAAATTTGAGCTATTAACCTGATGACCATGGTTACTATGATTCATCTTTCTACCATGTGCATATTTTTTTCCTTCAGCAAAAGCCAAATGAACCAACGGTACCATTGTCATCCAAACAAAAGACAATTCTTCCTCATATTTTGTGACCTCACTGGGAACATGCTTGTCCAGGAAGGTGTCAATAAGTTTGTCTATAGTAGAACAAACACTTGCTGCCAGATTGACCAGAGGAGCTGAGCACATTCTTGCCAGGAACAGACAACAATAGTACCTTTTTCAGAGGAGGGCAAAAAAAGTGAAAAAAAAAATGATCATATGAATACCCATTGTATTAAAATGAATGTAAATTAACTTTGTAATCCCACACTATGACACTATGAAGTTATGAAGCTGCAGATATTGTTGATTGTGATGACAATGAACAAGAGGCAAAGAAAGAGGAAGAAGGGAGAATTTGAAGGAAGAGGAGGATAAAAAGAAAAAAGAGGACACTTAGATAAGGATATGGGTTAGAACGGCAAAGGGTTTAGAAATGATGATGATGAGAAGATGACTAAATAAGAAAGAAGGATGAGGATGAAGATGAGCTCAACAATCTATGAAGGATATGGATATAGATGAGGGATTAATGGTACTTTGCAAAACAGTTCTTCAACTGGGGATAAGGATATGGGTGAGAATGGCAAAGGGTTTAGAAATGATGATGATGAAAAGATGACTAAATAAGAAAGAAGGATGAGGATGAAGATGAGCTCAACAATCTATGAAGGATATGGATATAGATGGGGGATTATGACAGCATAAGGAGAGATATATAGGGCACCACTAAGAATTTTTTCAAAGAGGTATCAGCACGCTCATGTTTATGTTGTTAGAAGGGCTAGAACTGGGAAAGATCTGTTTATTATTTCCACTTGCACTTTTTTGCAAACCTGAATTTTTAAAATCTTGAAAGATTTGCATGCTACTGATCCCACCTAAACCCAGCTCTTCCCCTGCAAATAATGCTGATGAAAAGAAAAGGATGCAAATAAGGATAAGACTGAGGATAAACTAGTGCTGAGGATATATAAACTAGTGCAAACACTATTATCAGTCAAGATAGTTCGGAAAAATCTGTTTGAAAAGATGAATAAAAATAGTTTCACAGAATTTTCCAACCTTAAAGGGAAATCTCCTTCCTCATCATCCAATAGCTTTTTTGTAATATTAAGCATTTTTTCCACAACTCCACAGTTTACTAAATATTGGGCAGATTTTACATTGAATGTGCAGTAAAACAGCGTGTTGGAGGCAACCTGACTTGAAAATAGTGAATATTCTGCTGTCTCAGACTGGCTTCTGTCAATCATAAAGAGTAATTTGCTGATCATTGCTGGTGATTTGGCAACTTCTAGCTGGAGGTTTGAATCATACTCCACAAATCTAGGAAAAAGAGGGTATGTGAAATCATATTAAATCAGAACTGTACTGGATCAAATTTTGAGAATGAAATTGTTTTACAGACTGATGAAGCTATAGCTAAGTTAATTTTTCAGCTGAAGAGGCAATAAAAACAAATAAAATTTATCGACTGTTCAATTATGGAAGAAATATTCTGAGCTATCCCGAAAAAAAATTGACTTTCAGTAAGCCAACTTTGGTTACCAATTGGGAGTTGAGCTCTAACTCTCTAGTAAGAGAGTTAGAGCACACTGTCTACATGCATGCAAAATTGCATAGTACATAACTGCAAGTGCAGTCATGATTTATGAAATGTGTATCCACAGGCACATTTCCTTGATAAACAAATTGTTTTAAACAGATCATAAAAAAATTATGAATAAAATTAACTTAGATTTGCTTTACTTTATATTGTTGTTTAAAAAAAGTTAGTTGTCCTGTGATTAAAAATCTAAATTTTCTGAAACTATGCATACCTATACAATTGACAGAAATCCTGTATTGCACAATTTAACAATATCGTGTAAATAGGAAGCCATTGACTAAAGTGCAAAACAAATTTTTTTTGTTGAGTATACAATTACCATAATTTTGTTTCAATGCAAGATATGCAAAATCTTCCAAAAGAGACAGTGTAAGAATACTTAAACTCTGAGTCTGTCTGCTAGTACTAAGCCAATTGTATTCTTCTGTTGACATTTTGAAACCAAACAAAAATATCAGTTCCAGACAGACATTAATCTTCTCACATGGATAAAATAACAAGTCAGATTAATATCTACCCTGTTTTTTGGTTAAGTGATTTAACTCACCCTGCACAGCAGCCAACAGCAGACTGATTTAAGAAAACAATCAATCTGGCTAAGTCAGTGAGGCCAGCCTTGTTGAATACATCTGGGTGGATAAGGAGAGCTTCAACTGATAATGGAAAGACACCCTTTGATAAAGCAAACTTCTTATCTTCATATGTCTCAGCAAAGGTCCACAAACAGGAAAGACATCTGTATTCAAGAAGAAGCTGTCCTTGATCAAAATGGTGTTTTAAATGATTCAGGGTTCGTAACATCACAACATCCATTGGACTTTGAGCATCTCTAAAGGCCAAAGTATCAATAAAAGAGGTTATTTTAGAGAAAAAAGTACATCTTACAGAGAGTTATATATAAACACCCATCTTATATTGCACAGTCATGGCTTCAACATCACTGAATGTCATGATTGTAGTATATAAAGCCTGATGCACACCATTCTGATATTTATATAATTATATATATTAACAATTTTGTTTCTCACCACCATGAAGCCAGTATCATTATCCATTGATAACAATATTCTCTACTCTACAGGGAATATATAAAAGCCACCATTACTGTCTGACTCCTTTTAACTGTTTTACATGAGTCCTACTGACAATACTGTCCATTGCCTTTGCTAGCCCTCAGTCAATGTAGACAATTGGAAAAAAGGCTGGTGAAATTGGTGGCAAAATGGAAAGGAAAAATGGAGAGTCTGTCTCCCCCCTTCACTTTGCACTCTTTCCCTCTCACCTCGGCCCCCCCCCCCTCTCCAGTGCGTTCTTCCCTGACTATTTCTGTTTTCCCTGGCCAATCTTTTAATTATTTCCTCAGACTGAGGGGTTGGCTCATGCTGCCGTGTGCTTCTTCCAGGGCATATAGAAAGACTGTCACAGTGGTGGTCAATTTCCCAACCTAGCTACGTCTCAAAACAGAGTTTTCTTTTTTTAGCCCTCAAATCAATCTGTGGCCATCACGCCACCACAACTGATTGCATGAATATTCAACATGTAACATCGTGCTGCTTATAGAAAAATTTATGGCAATGTTGTGCGTAAAGTTGGCAATCGATAAAGAACTCACTTAGTTTCCTGAAAATCTGCAAACAGGAAAAGTTTCAATGAATATTTGAACACTTCCAAGAATGCGTCAAATCCTCCTTCTTGAACGAAGAAATGTCTATGAGCACTCGATTTCAAACTCTTCCAGGGAGCGAAGTACTGGCCGGCAAGTTCTGGCAGTGCTCGATACGTGTTGCCTAGTTTTACATCTCCGAAGTCTCGAGAAAAGCTGAAACTCACTGCAGAACCATTAGGATCCTTTGCCATTATAATGTCTGGAAGCTCTCCGTGTAGTTTTTCCACAATTCCTTGTGCGCTTGTCTGAAGCACAGACAAAAGTTTCCGCATTCCTACTATGTCTGCTACAGCGAGAAACTGCAATTTTAAACTCTCTCCTTCCTTGAAATACAACCTACCGAGGGTCATTTGATCATCAATTAGCAACTGTCCCTGATAAAACAGCTTTTGATCGCAAACCGGCGCTTGTATGGCTTCTTGTATCGCACTCTTTACGTCTCTGATACTTGTAGTGCTGAGATCAGGCACAGTTAGTTTGAATCTCCCGGTTTCGGTGTTCTTTTCACAGCTGTAGTCCACAAAGAAGTTCATTTCTTGTACTGTCCTTTGGCGCTAAAATTGCTCTATTGATCTAAGAGATTGCAATTATCCAAGAAGGCAGCTCGGGAGATTTTTAACCTCTTTCGCTGAGCAGGAAGGAAGATTTTATAATGAGCATCGTCATCGTGTCTAGTATTGGACCGGAAACAGGAAATCTGCTGTTCCAGGCCTCCTTGTCGTTTCCACTTGTCTCAATGCAGCTTAACCAAAGCGTCAGTACCATTAATTTTTAATCGATCTTCATTTGTTCTCTTCTTTGAGACGACTCAACATGTAGATAGCACACTTTTGCAGAAAACTTCCAATTTGCAATTGAGTCAACACTCTGACCTCTACGATTGTCTTTCATCTTATTTATTTTAGCTCTTGCGAACAACGGAAAGAATTACGGACTACAGCGTGGGCCATTGCTTGTTAGGTAAATTCTCCCTGTCGCTATACCATGAGGTTTCCATAGAGAACAGAATGGGAATATGCACACGTGTGCGAGATAGTAACGGGATGAAATCTATTCAAGCTAATTGCGACCTTCGAGATAACAATAAAGTTATGGAGGTATAAAGCTAGTCGTATGTTTAGGTTGGTTCACTTAGGATTGCATTCTTTTTCCTCTTAAAAACAAATCTGCTCGCCAGTTAATCTTACAAGAAAAATGTTTCCCGTTAGCTTCGCTGGACTCGCGCAGAGTGTGACTCGTGATAGAATCAAGGATGATTCGCTAAAACCTAGTCAGGGTGTAGATACTGAGCCAACTTCTCCTCTCCAGTCTTCGCAGATTCTACTGATATAAATGAAAACTAAAGTACTTTAGGACCTTTCGGATACCCCGCAACTGTTGCGGTCCTCATTCGCAAGAGCATGGCTGGATACCCACGATCTACACTGGCTCATATCAAAAGGCTTCTGGTAAATGCAAGTTCTACGGCTACGCCGCTGAACAAAACTGCCCGGTATCAACCCTGCCAACGCCCAAGACGAAGACAGGTGCATAACTATTTGAATTGAGCGACACGTTGATTCCTTCCATAGCGAAAAATTACTTTTCTTTCAAAATAAACAGTTTTGATCATTATCATATCGATATTTCCATCATTAAATTCCTTCTACAAAACAACTCGTTCAAATTTACTCAACATTCGAGTGAATAAAATTTTACATATGTGTATATTGCACTGTGGAACAACAGAGCGAATCGAGAAATGGTTTTTGTACTATAATGTGTGAAACAAAATTCCGTGTAATGCAGAGGTTTCTCGGCTGATTTCCTGTGCGCTTTATTCTCAATTTGAAAATCATTACAGATGTGGGGAGAACAAAACGCGCATTATCGCTTATCCGCTTATTTACACCACCCCCTAAGGTGCCTTTTACAAGGAATATTGTCGAACGAAAACTCTGGCTTGAGAATTCGAATATACAATTAAGTTTAGAAAAGGACTACATCGGTTATTGCTTTACTTCTCTTTGTGATTGGTCTCCCGAAGTCTCCTTGCCCCCTCCACCAATCAGAAGCAAAATTAAAACCAACCATGACCTAGCATTACCGTGTTTGTCCACACTTCGGGCAGTTTACTTGTTTTTACCTAAAAATTTCCATTAACTTTCATTCAGCGTAATTGGTCGTCATGACTATGATTTTAATAACAGCAACACTTTCTTTCAGTTTCCTTCTGTTTCCTTACAAGTCTTCTTATCAGTTTGCTACTTAACTGTCTACAAATTTGATTAGTTCCAGATGCATTGTATGCGGTGCTTGAGAAAATCAAGACAACATTTTGTACCACAAGCTGACCTTCAGCTGCACGAGTTTTTGTTAAAAGAGATTTGAAACTACTTTGGGAATCATTCACTTTAACAGTGTCAGCGGGAGATGTTTTTGATGAGAGCAACACTTCCTTTCTATTTTCTTCTGTTTCCTTCCAAGTCTGTACGTCAGTTTGCAACTTAACCATCTACAAATTGAACACCATGTCTAAACCTCTCGTGAGAGCGAGCACAGATTTGGCTGCAACTTTCAAAGAAGGAGGTGTGAAAACATTGTTTGCGAGAACTGTCCTTAGTTTTTCCTTCCCATCACACGGTAGATGCCAAGACAAGCAAACCAGGTAGGGAAAGAGATTCTCTGAAAGTGCCAATTGCTGATTCTCCTCAATTGACAACATGTGCACTAGGGAGAAGATTCCAAGTTTTTGTGTTGATGAAGATCTTTGCCTGTTATTCTCAATCCTTCCAGCAAAAGCCAGATGAACTAGTGGCACCATTGTCATCCACACATAAGAACTTTTCTCCTCCCATTCTGAGATTTCATTAGGAACATGACTGTCTAGGAACAGATCAATAAGTTCATGTATAGCCTTACAAGTATCTATATCCAGCTTGACTAGAGGAGCTGAGCACATTCTTGCCAAGGAGAGACAACAGTAATACCTGGTTCACAGAAAAATAAACTTGTGAGTCAATGAGTAGGATTAATCACCTTTATCTCTTAACACCAAGTATTTAAAAACTAAAGATAGTACAGTTAATTGCGCTATCTTCAGTTTTTACAAATTATATACTTGACCCACCCTGCAAAGCTATCCCAGGTTCATTGAAATGGAGTCACTACACAAATGTGAAGGAGTTTTCATACATAAAACCCATCACAGGTTGAACCTTCATTTCCCTAAGACCCATTAGGTGCTCCTGAAGGGCAAATAACATATTTCATTTATTACAAAACCAATAGGAAGGAAGGTATGATGCTATAATATCAATTTTGGAGAAATGGTTACTGATACACCACCAGCTAAAAATGAGTCGCATACATTCCTTCATGATAATATGCATTTTTTACTGTAACTTAAAGTAATTGCACAAAAAAGGTAAGTGACAGCATTACTCTGTCATAATCACCAACCTTAAAGGTGTATTGCCATCTTTATCATTAAGAAACGCTTTTGTAATATGAAGCAGTTTTTCCACTGCTCCACAATTTACCAAAGACTGGGCAGATTTGACATTAAATGTGCAGTAAAACAATGCATTGGAAGCAACCTGACTTGAAAACAGTGAATATCCAGCAGGCTCTGATTGATATCTGTCTATCATAAAAAGTAGCTTGTTAACCACAGCTGGCATATTAGACACTTTCTCTTGAATGTTGGAATCACACTCTACCAATCTAGAAAAAGGATTAAAATTCAGAGTTATAAAAAAAATTAATTTAAGTTTGATTATAAAGTGGTTGATCAGCAATTCGACTAAAGGTGGCAGGCTGAACAATATTAACATGCAAATCCATGTAAATTATTGAACATCTGCATCAATCACCAATTAAAGGCCAAGTATTAAATGACATGTCAACTATAGTATTTACTTACAGAGATTGTATCATCATATTAATTTGGTAATTTAGCATTATCAATGGAGTTGATAACATAACTTGGCCACTGTAAAGAGTTTCAAAGCTGATGTTTTGAGCATTAGCCTTTTGTCAGAGCAAGAGCATTATATTATTACACAAAGCGAAGAGCATTATATTAATTGTAGGTCAGCATTTGAAAATAATTGTAACTACGCTAAAACAAACACAGGGGGACAGACAGGGACGGACAGTCATAAAGAGAGACACACAATCAGACGAGCCATTGTGAGATAAATACTTAAGAGAAAGTTAAAAATGTGACTCACCCTGCAAAGCACCCAATTGCAGTTTCATTTACATTAACCACCATGCTGGACATGTCAATATGGCTAGTTTCCTTGAGGGGAACAGTTTGAAGTAAAAGAGCATCAACACTTAGGGGGAAAATATCCTTTGACAAAAGAAACCTGCGATCTTCAATTGTCTCACCAAAATTCCACAAAGAGCAGAGACAACACATTTGGAGAAAAAGTTGTCTCTGATTAAAGAGGCATTCGAGTGGAAATTGAGGTGTGGCTGCTTCTTGCAAATTTTCATTTCTGTGGGTAAACAAAGACTGATGATCATAATTTAGACAGAAAGTTAAAAGAATATTGATATGTAACTTGATATCCCAAAATACCTTTACTAACCATCTATCCATAATCCGAAATTATTGCACTCCTCACCCGCATCTTTAGCCTTTGACCTTTCTGGTTAATCTTGGAACACTGACTCCATTTAATTCAAAGAAAAATAAAACTACTGAACCTTTGTAGAACAGTACCTTCCATAGAAGCCACCATAAGCTTGAAGATGAGTTAGGACTTACGACTTGTCATGTTTCTGACATAGGCTTGAATAACATCAATTCTTCAAAACTTACATTATTTAAAGCCACAAATTCAGTTACGAATCTATGGTCTCAAATTTCTAACGAAGAAAACAATTCTGAAACGAGGCTTTGTTCGTAATTAGTTCAGACACCGTTTTACATAAAAGGTCATAAAATGATATTGCTTGTCTGGAAAAAATGCCAAAAAATCATACCCTGCAATGTCCCTGAATAAGCCCTTTAAGCAAGCACCCGTTTCTCCTTGCCAGTGCCACGCCAGTATATTCTCGTTTGCCCTAAATGAAGCTTTGCAGGATTTGTAGCTACTTACAAAATTAGGTCCCTCTCTTGTTGTTCGGTCAAGAAAAGCTGCCTGGAAAATTTAAACACTTCCAAGAATGCGTCAAATCCTCGCTCCTGAACGAAGAAATGCCTTTGAGCAACAGTTCGTGGACATTTCCATGGAAAGAAAAATGAACCAAGTTCTTCTACAGTGTAAAGGAGCCGGTCATAAAACTGCCACACGTCAGGAGAATCTTCATTGAGATCAGGAAGCTTGTTTCCCGGCTTTTCCTCGATTTCTCGAGCACATTTCTTCAGTACATCCAGAAGTTCAATCATTCCTTGTATATCTGCCACAGCAGTGAATTGCAGGTGTAAAGTGTCACCTTCCCGAAAATACAGTCGACTGAGAGTCATTCGATCGTCTGTCAGTGCTCTTCCTTGATAGAACAATCGCTGGTCGCACACCGGCACCTGAATACGCACTTGTAACATATATTTCACATCTTCAATGGTTGTGGTATTTAGAGCAGGGACAGATAGTTTCGTTTTGCCATTTTCCCAGTTTCCTTCGGGGCTGTAGTACTCCACGTAAAACTCCATGGACTAATTAACTCGTGTGAGTTTACAAAACCTTTGTGTGTCTCGAAATCTCGCTTCGATCGATGTGGTACTTAGGACATGACTGTTTTCTCAGCCGATGCTCAATTTCCTCCATGTTGACAAACATTGTTTCTAATCAGTGTATGCAAACTCGCTACACCACAGGTTTGACTATATCGGCTGTAGCCGCTGAAATCGTCTCTTAATTTTATTCGATTTAATTTTTTTCTCATGTTCTTTTTGTTATTGGTTTTGTTCTTTCGTTGATAATTGCTTGTTCTCTGAGAAGTGCAGCAGTAAATATTAATGATTTCCTAGCTTGTGAATATGGAAAGTACTAAGCATTTTTTCCTTCGTATTCCTTTTTGTGTCACGCGCGCATCTGTCACGTTTAAGAGCAGCCTACATCAGAAAAGGATGTTGGGAAGTGTTTCTCTTAAAGATGGTGGTGTGTATGTTGGTGTTGGGCGGTATTTCCGCAAAGTTGTGATTCCTTCAGAGCTGCACAAGTACGCAAGTCACTTATCATAGGTTTCTTTACTTAGTTTACTAAGTTTCTTTGTCGATAAACATTCATTGTGACTTTTTTGTGGCGAAAAATCGTCAGGATAGTGCAGCGACCGACAGTATTGTGACGATCTCGTTAATTGGGTCAAGTACCATTCAGAAAAACAATACGATTTGCCAAATTAAATCGGTTTGTTATGGAAGTCAATGTTGAACTAAAATGTTCGGATACAAGGGAAACGAAGCATTTAAAAATAACTGTAAACGACTGGGAAGGTAGATGTGTTAAGGATCTGAAAAAGATTTTTGAAGAAGAGATTCAAGTTCCATGTTGCGATCAGAAACTCTCTTATCAAGGAAGACAATTTGGGAACGATAACTTGTTTCCTCTTGTGAAATTATACCTTCGGGAAGGCGACACTGTTAGTTTAGAATGCATTTCACAAGGAAAACTCAAAGAAATGAAGGAGTTTTTAAAAGATATTAAGGATTTTTCAGACTTCATTACCAGCAAGAACCAAACTGAAATTTTGACAGTCAACGAATTGACGAAAGATGACCGAAGCTCGCGTCCAAATTACGACCATGTAACTCAAGCATTAGAATTGTTGTCATTTGACTTTTTCATTCCTTGGAAAAATGTCAAGTCCGTAGTCCACCGTCATTTCTTTGTTCAAGAAGGTGGTTTTGATGCTTTCATGGAAGTTTTAAAGTTTGCAAACAAAAGGTACACATTGGACGGAAGACTCATGGCAAAGTAAGTGTTAGCTTAGTGGTTCTATGGTCTAGTTTTAGAGTAGTTGACTGGAAAGAGATGATTTGGTTTTATGCACTGATTTGATGATGTGATGCAACCCTTCTGTGCATCAACGCAGCATGAAAAGCCACTAGGCCCTAGAGCATAAGCTATCTATGAAATCTACACTCTTAATCCTCCCAGTATCAATGAACAATTCTCATGCAAATAAATTATTCTTGATTTTTCTTTTTTGTGTTACCAATTGTTCCCACCAGTAGCATGGCCCCATCTTTCCATCTTAAACCACATAACCCACAGTTCCCCAAGTCCCTCTGACAAAGGGCTAAATCTTGAGACAACAGGTGTAGAATCTCTTTATGGAGCCCAATTCACATTATCAACCTAGTTGATGAAATTAGATTACCTTGGAATATCAATGATGCAGCACCAAAAATTTACTAGAAACCTGTCCTTTGGTTGTTTGGTTGTCTCTATCACAAACATCTCAACAATCTGCCGTGAAGTCATTTTATTAAGACATTCACTTCCACCAAAGTTGTCAAATTGTCTGTCTGTATATTTCTGGGAACATCTATGATGTACATGTAACTCTAAAAATTTTTCTTTACCAATGCTTTGTACCTGATATTTTCATAGAAATAAATGTGCTCGTTAAAATGGTGGGTGACTTTGTAGAATCACTTTCTTTTTCATATTTTCTAAGGAAATATCTTGGAGAATGCAAGGAAGGTGATTTGAGCGTATTGGAAAACCACTTAAAAAGGTGGAATGACAAGCAGATGGGATTGCATGCAGACTGCCTGAGCTTTCTGTGGAATTTCTCTGAGACATGGCATGATCGCAGGTTGTTGATACAGAAAGGAGGGCTCCCATATGTTGTCAAGGCTCTGCTCTCCAATCCTGACCAGTACCTAGTTTTTTCTGAGGAGTACTGGCAGGTGGCAAGGATCAATGAAACAGCTGTGGGCTGCCTTGTTCAGTAAGATTTCTGTTGTACTTTGTCATAGACTGATTACTGTATCGATCACAAAAATAGCCTAAGTCATTGGTAGGGTACTGATAAGATATTTTCTACAAGTCAACTTCAGAGACATCAGCCCAGGTTAAGTGCAGTAACTTGATTCTATGTTTGTATTGTGAATGAAGTGGTCCCATTTATGAACTTCAAGCAAATTTGTCTGCATACACTGTAACTTATAAATGAGGCTCTGAAAAATTTCTTCTCTGCTCCTTAGGTATGCAGAGTTCCCTGACTGTCAACAAGTGATTGCTCAAAGTTCTAAAATTGTCAATAAACTGATATTTATGTTGGAAGCATCAAGCCAGTTGAGCTTTCCCTTGGATGTCACACACTCAAACATTTACACAGAATATGCTTCCCAGATTGCTGCAAATACTCTATTCTGCTGTGCATGCAGTGTGCAAACACCAAAGATTCTGGTAGAAAACGGTTTGCATAAAAAGATGATAGACCTCATGCAGCAAGCTAATATTAATGACTTGGCCAGCAGGTATAACTAAATTTTAAATGTATATTTTTTGATGAATTTAATTAAAAATATGTTATTTGCTGGTACAGAGATACTGTATGTAGAGTAAAAAAATGGGTTTATGTCCTGAAGATGTTACCTTGGGTCTGCAGTGAAGGGTAGCTGCAAGGTCACAGTTTCTCACAAACAATATGTTACCTCTCAAAAATCAGACATTTGTTTCAAGTTAATCTCCCTCTCATGTCTCATGAAATCCAAGAAAATGTTGCAAATCAATCCTTAATAATTATTGATTGAGTAAGATCTGTATGAAGCCTCTACAAAAGCCTCACATAGTTGTATTTGTACACAGTGCTGTATCATAAATTAACAAGCAATGACAAGAATTTGAAATTTCTGTTACACCCTTGACAGCCATTTTCCTCAATTAATCAAATGTCTTTACTTGTAGTTACTACTGCACCTTGTTCCTTGCAAGAATAAGGTCATCTGCATTGGTTCAGTTGGATTCCGAAACAGCTCAAAGCATTGATGATCTCATTGTCGCCTTTCTTGAAGAATACTCACCTATTGATGTGTCAACTTGGGAAGAAAAACACAACTATGTCTGGGTCACCATGATACCCTTTGTAAGTTTGGCCTTTTCAGGAAAACAATATGAAAGGGAAAAATCTGCTCTGGTTAGCAAGAAGTCGGAGAAAGAAGGTTATAGCTCAAAACCTCACCTAGCTGGAAGTAAATGTGATATCATGGAAAGGAAAGTGGATACAAAAGTGGGAGCAATGGTTGGGGGAAATCAGTCTCACTCAGGCAAACATGCTGATTCCACAAGTTATAGTCCTGGATCCTGGTTCACTGGTACAACATCATGTCCAAGAATGCTTGGGTCTTTAGAGACTCAACAACTTGGACTTTTTACACTGGAGCACATGCTGAATTCAAGCGAAAACCGACAGCTTTTGGATGAGGAACATTTGTTGCCATATCTCCAATGTTTGTGTTGGTATGTTGGTGCAGAAGATGGAAGGATTGTGAAAGAAGAATTGACCAAGCATTGGACACCAAGTCCTGCACCTCTTAAAATAATTTGCAAATCAAGTCTGGCTTTTCAACATGGATTTGAGGCTGCTTTTAAAATATGACAAACTAAACAATTATCCATTCCCTAATTTGGTTGTTTGTTGCACAAATGTCATACTGGTGAGTAGTGATAAGTATTTTTGTCGCAGCTCAGTGCATGAGAGTTATCAACTAGGATCTCTTCTCACTCACCAACATAACCCCCCCCCCCCAACCCATGCATGGAATTTTTAAAATTAAGAACACCCTTAAACAAGTTTTACAACATTTTCCATCTGCTCCTTATTTATCTATCTTCAAAAAGTTGCTATTAAAAGTTACCATTCTACCAGAGATTTCTGAATAAAATTAGATTCAGGAAAGAACTGAGGTGCTTACCTCTTGAAGGAAATTTTACCAAATGGAAGAACTTTGTTTTTTACTCCTATCCACTTTTGAATTTTCAGCACTTTAAACCGATTTAAACATTGTCACAATGGGAAAAATTAGCTTCATGATGTAATAGTTGCATGTACAAATAATGGATGTAGCTAATATAATTTATGTATAAGAATATTGTACATACGTACTTAATGCACAGCAGTTGTAAGCAATTGGTCTATTTCCACAATTTTTAATTAGTATAATTATTATAATTGACTTATGGCCTTTGTCTTGCTAAGTACAGCAAATCTCTCCCTTGTTATACAAGCAGTATTAATTGATACATGTGATTTAAATAATGTGTAGTAAGTTATTATTTTAACTTTCTAACACTATTCTTAGATGATAAATGTACCACAAATATTTTAGTACAAACATTATATTGTTGGTTTGATGTAACACATGATGCACAGGACTTATAAATGTGATGGGGATGTCTCTTGTTTTTCTTCAACCTGGCCTGCTTTTTTCTGTTCATTTACCTCAAACTGACTGCCAGGGACAAGCTTTCCATTTGGGTGATGCAGGAACTAAAAAACTAATCTTGGCTAATCGTAACCCTCAAAGACTCATCTCACTTTTCATGGCTAACCCAAATTTTCCTTTGTTTTCTGCTATTAATCTGACTAACTCCTCTTTTGTCTTCTCTATTGCGCCTAAATGCAAGCAAGGTAATTAATTTTTTGAGGCAAAAATAACCCAAGACAAACCTCCTCTGAGCTTGTAAATTGCCAGAGCTGTCTTGTTCATTTCAATCAACAATTTATCTTTCCCTGAGACAAATTTAGTGGGTTACAAATAACATAATACTATGCAAACAAACCAATCCTTGAGCTATATGACAGCCAATGTTTCACTTTCTCCAATTTGTTAAGTTCTCAATCCTTCTGAAGGATTCAATCAAGAAGCTTTAACACATAACATCATAAGTTTGATTTAGAATCCAAACAGCAAAGACTTTTTTTTCTCTTTCCAATACTTTCTATAGACAGAACATCATGCAGAGTTACAAGATGAAAATGACACAGGATGTTTAACAGCAAAATTTTTAATATTTAACAGTTTCATCAGCTATTCAATACAATTTATTAAAACATTATGTAAATTAATTAAAAAAATCCCATTATTGCATCACTACATTTTAACTTAAATTACTTAGCTAAGGTTTACAAAGTGTACCTACATCTCATTAATCAGGCTATCAAAATTTGGATCCCTGTAAAACTATTAAAACATAATTAAGACTACTTTATGTTACAATCACACTAAGATACAATTATGTCAAAATTCTTAACAAAAGGTTGCATACAACTGTAAAGGCAATCTCTACAGAGGAAAAATTATAAAAGCCCATGAAAACCTTGTCAATTTTTGCTTTTTCAGGGAAAGTGGAGACAGGGGTAAGGCTTGAGCTTGAGAAGGAGATAAGCACCATGCAAACATGAAGAGAGCATGAATTGTGGGTCATGCATCAGAAAGGGATTGCAAAAACCGTTCACCTTTGTATCCCCTGAAAAAAACACACACTAAAATATAATCTCTCCAAGTTTCATGGAACAAAATAGTGTAAATACCTTTAACAGGCTGTTCTCAACAACACTAGTGCCTCCTTATGAAGCACCTGTTACTTAAAAGAAATGCTCAAGCTTATTAGACTTAGCAAGACTATAAAAAATATGAGTAACAACCCAAGACATAACATCACGATGCACACATTTTAAGTCAATCATTGTGATATTCATGACTTATTCAAAATATTGGTTTGGTGCAGAAGAAAATCACATGGTCAAGGAAGGAGTGGCAGGAGCTGAGGGGTCCTGGGGTGCATGTTCTCTCCTCCCTTTATGAGTCAGAATACTTTTTCTCGATGATTATCAGACAAATCTTACACCTCAGGTTTGAAGAATGTATGAATCCCAACGAGCAACTTAGGATAGTCTGAGCATCCAGATGAAAAATGTTACAATAAATTAAAGAAGGGTGACATGACTCATTCAAAGCACTTGGAAATCACTGCAGGTTGGCATCCACCGGCATGCTCATTCCCTGTTTGATTCTCTTGATCAGATAGAGCTTATCTCGACCAGCCTGGAAAATAAGGGAGAGAGTCATCAGAGTAAGGGTGCAGCGTAAAATCCCTGAAGCTTTTTTGCATCACCCATCTGTGTCAGACTGATCACATCTTGTTTGTCTTCAATCCTTTAGGACTGTGCAGATTTACCGTGTCTATAGAAATGGATTTTTGTTTTCCTTACACAGCTTCAAAAATATTAATGGCTTTTAAATCAAGATAGAGTAATGGAATGAGACATAGAAGCATTATCGAGGTCCAAAAATCAGCATAACAATTGAAAACAAGACAAAAAACAAGCTCTCAGTGAAAAAAATTGATAAGAAACAGAAACTGATAAGACATGATCCATGCAAATCCACATCAAAAACAAACAAATCCAAAAGTTTACTGTTCACCTTTTTCACTGGTTCTAATAAAAAACTCAAACTTGTAAATGAATGGACCTTAAAATTATGAGCAATCTTTCTTTTTCAGCAAAGTCTGTTGCATATGTCAAAAAATTCAGCACAAAAAAAATTTGTTAGCTTGTCATGTACAGCTTTGAGGGTGAGATTTTCTGCGCAACAGACTTCACCAAAAAGGAGGTACTTCACATAGTCTAATTAAACCTTAGTTCCATAACTTAATGCATAGAATACTCCTTGTAAACTGCTGTAGCCTACTACTTACCAAGGAAATTTGTTCTTTCAATAGTTTTATCTTCTTTTCATTTGAATCCTTGAGCATTTTAAAATAATAGACAATGATCCTACAGTAAAAAGGAAATTGTAATAATTGTGAATAAAGTCATCTATGATCGCAAAGTCTAGACAGAAACTGTTTGAAAATACTCATTATGACAGAAACAACATAATTACTTGTTTATAGTTCAACAGTCTCCAGAGGGGATACTCCAGTACATTTATTAATTATCATATTAAATGAAAAAATATATACATCTGTCAGAATTATGCAATCAGCAGTTTTTTACTGACTGTTTCAGGATCAGAGCTAGAGTAATCACAACTACTAATCAGAATCATTTTAATATTCACAAGAAATCAAAGAGAACTAAAATTAAAAATAAGCAAGGAGATTGGCTGAAAGAATGGCTAAAGTTTTTCCCTGAGCAAGAGCTAAAACTAATGTGATGATGTTAATGGAAGTGTCCTGTGTACTATAATTTAACCACAAATAGCTGTTCAACTTTTACAATGACTTTCATTCTTACCCAAGAATACAGAACAACAATGCGATAAAACTTGCAGAGGATGCATACTCTATGGTTACATGCAGCCACTTTGGAAACTTGACAACTGTTTCTGTTACAACTTCATACATGAAATTATTCCCTCTAAACACAACAAAAACAAGCAACATTGTGAGTGATTTAGAGGATATTGTAAATATCTTCACAATGTAAGACTTATCATACCTCTAAGGAACAAATGTGCAGCAAAAATGCAGCTAAATAATGAATAAAAACTTACCGGAAAGGACCACACAATTGTGAAGGGTTGGTTCTGTAAAGAAAAAAAAAGTAATTATTAATTCTAGCACAAATGAGGCTTGAAAAGTGAGCTTGACACTTCCTCAGGAAATTATAATTAGGAGAACAAAGCTGGAAAACAACTGCATACAAACAATTGATGTCTTAGGACAGTACCACTAACTATAACTATCAAAGTTGATAGGAAAAGAGCAAGCCTGCTTATTGGTTTATTAGAACCTGTATTGCTCCATCCACCATGCCTGGTGACTCAAATTAAAGGATCATATGCCTGTTTTTGCTCCAGTTATTATTTTTCACAAACAAAGCCATTCTTGTGTAATTGAATTAGTCTAGTAGGATATATTTTGTTACAAGTTTAACAGCTTTGTGATTGCCTCCAGGTAACCAAGAAAGAACTGAATTTTGAAGGTTACAGACTAGCTGCAATTAAAGTCATTTCAGAGAAAAAAGTCAGAGCTAAATTTATGCTTCAAAACGCATGTCCATGAAATTAGGGCGTTTCTGTGACCAACTGAGATACAAAGCTGTTAAAGGAGACACAAATTTGAATTAGTGTTTTCTTGATCCTGATTAAAAATAGTGTTTACATTTTATTAAATGTATCATTTGTGGAGTGTCTACAGGTTTGTAAGGCCTCTCAGAACCAACAGGATTGACATTTCAGTATTGTTACTCACATGTCTGATGACATTATAGTATATCCTATCACAATCATGGACAGAAAGAAGGACACAGCCAGTAAAAACAGAAACAAAAGGTTCATCCTGGATGCTCTGAAAGGCCTCATGGATGCACGGCAGTTCATCACCACACTTGTCTACAAGGAAAAAAAAGAAATGCAGTTTGTAACGGGATAATGTGCATTGCTATTGCTTGACTGTGCTTGACAACTGGTGTAGAAACTCATTCCATTCTCTCCATCCATCAGATACGGAGCTAAAACCAAATGCAGTTTAACCAATCATGTTTATCTGTGCTTTAGCTTCCTTTTAATTTTGAGTTCCAGTTGTTTCCATTAGATATTTTTAACCTATTTTAATTGGCCATTGCGATTACTTCATTTTTGGTTTTTTAAACTTAGTCAAAAGGTGCTCTTTTAAATAAATGTATTTACTGGTACCATGGCCATGCCTCTTACAGTCTGCCAAAGTTTGCAATGTATGCAAGGCAATTGAATTCATGTCACCATCATCGATCAACTTTTATCATAATGGTCATTTTACTGCATGGCTGCAAATACCAAGAGGAAACACAACTACATTTAACTTAATTTATCTTAAGTCATCCCCCCTTGCCCATATCTTCCAAAACCAAACAAGTTTGACCAAAATTCCTTCAAGAAACTGTATCAAGGGTTTAAGGAAGCAGCCCCCTTTCAAGGGTATATTATAGGGCATTATTAGCGTAGTAGTTAAAGTTACAACTTTTAGAACCTTAAATCCACCTCTTTTAAATATCTTCTTAATGTTTGTAGATATTTCAGTGAGTTTAAATAATGACTTTACATTATGAACATACTCAGCATGCCGTTCTTATATTTCATAAGAAAAGCTCACTCACTCTATCTAATCCTAATTAAGTACCTACCCTTTTCACATAAAACAAGATAAAGAGCTTTATCACTTGAATAACTGGTAACATAGGGCAGAAGAACGTGCCAATCCTAAATGAAGAGAAGATAACATATTGTGGTACTGAGCAAGCAAGAGAGGAAGCATAGAAACACTGTACATGAAGAGAACAAACAAAAATATTTAAACATTTTGTACTCAGTGCTTTTAAATGGAAATTTTGATCAGTGAGTAAGCATAAAAAAACAAAAAAAAGTTTTGTACTGTTTGTGACCTCTCATTATAAACTGCATGATACTGCATGCTGTGCTACTATAGGATCAAAGTACAAATGATTGGTGAAAGGAAGAGAGAAAGGAAAGAAAAATGAACAGAATGAATGGTAAATGAATGGGAGGGGAGGATTAGGCAGGCACCAGGCAGGAGAAATAATAGATGTCAGCTTACACAAAATTTCTTACCAACACAGACACTGTGAATATATCAGATCAATGACGTTTCTTGAAATGTCAAAGCCAGGTGGACCCAGTGCTTTGCAACACTGACAGTTAACAATAAGAATCCTGAAAAAATATTTTTAAAAAATTCCTTGTAGCATATTTATAACATTTCCTTACAGTTGAGGGTGTTTAAGGTTCAATCACAGCTCAAAAAAGCTGAGGCTTTATAAGCAGTTCATAAAAATTCAGCTACTTCAAATTTGTTTCCCCTTAATGCAAACTGTGAAAATTCCCCCAAAATTGCAGACCATGAGCTCTGGCAGTTCCCTTCTCTCAATGTAATTAATTCACTTGCAAGTCATTGAGGTCCTAATTGTGAACACTATACTTAGCTTGTTGAGCCTTCAACAAAAGTAAGGTAAAAAGCTCTTGTGGTAGGAGAGGGAGGTAGGCCAAGCAAATTTAACTAGTTTTCAACTAAAATGTCGAGCAAGAATTACACTCACCTTCGGACAAATTCACCAAAGAATGTTGATAACAACAGGAAAACAAAGTCAACAATGACAAGTCGATAGAAAGCGTATCCAACATAATTTTCCCAACAGTTTTGAATAAGCTAATTATGAAAAAAAATTAAATTAGTCTGTGTGCTCCATCTTCAGAATCAATACAACCACATTTCACTTTAATTTCTTAAAGCCAATGAATCGAGTTAACAGATGTCAACAACTATCAGCACCACACAAAATAATGACCTAACATTACCGATGGATTGAAACTGACTACTCACAATCTACCTACACTAGCTAATTAAGTCTTATAGCCAATAACATGCATTATGGTCAATCAGTTTTCACAAACCGGACTTATAGCATTCAACTGATAACAACTCTTCACTTGACTCAGATTTATAATGACTTCCACTCAGGTTGTCAAAACATCGGTCTCCACTATCAACAACAGTCCTTCTCAGGACAACCCTCACCTGAACAATCAGACTACATTATCAAACGTTACCCCCTGGTTAAAAGCATTTGATGAGTTAGAGGTGGCTGGTTTACCAAGAAGAAATTTCTATCTTACCAACAACAACAAGCAAATAAAACATGTTGCTTTTTTACAGCGCTGGCTTTGACATGAGATGCACAATAGAAATCATTGCTGTGACACTGATTTACATACAAATGTAAGATAATACATTGCACCACAACATGACCAGCCATTAAACACAGGAAGCCAACCATTTCATATTTCATGTTATAATCTCTTACTTTGTCACACCCCTTATCTGAGCCGATAAGTTCCCCATCATTCCTGCATTGCTGAATGTCCACAAACAACAGGACAACAACCATTGTTACCGAAATCAGCATCATCAAAGTGGTTCTGATTAAAAACAAAATGCATTGATCATAAATATGCAGACTGTACACAAATTGTTAAAGTCTAGAATTTGATTGAAGATTAATTAATTTCTTTATCATAAAAAAATATGTGTTCAACATCTCAAACTCTCACTGAAACCCATAACAACTATTGTCTTTAAGGTTTCAACTAATAAGTCCCACCCCAAATACAGCACTGAACTAGCCAGAGGTACAAGTTGGCAATATCCACTTCAAACAGTTTTGTTCACATCAATAATGATAATAGTTAGTCCAGTTTATAAAAATTAAAATGGTTCAGTGAAATCCAACAGTTGCATAATAATTCCTAATTAATGACAAAACAAAAGATAAAGCAGGCAAACAAAATCCCAGTTGATTGAAAACATCCCAAATACTTAATATGCATCAGGTCAGCTAGAGCTAGCTGCAACAAAGTAATAAACTGAAATTGATCGGTTGTAAAATATTTAATCTACTTGATTTTGATGCATTTGCTTCCAAAAAAGAGTCCAATATTAACATATTACTTGTTAATCCTTCATAATTACCTTGCCAAATTGACATTTATGGCAGTGCGAGGACTCTTGTATCTTTCTAAAGTTGCAATAATGCGAAAGGCCATTGGCATAATAAGGTTGATGCCAGATACCACTAGTGGAAGCAAAAGTTTCTCCAACACAGCAACGTTATCCTTGATGAAAAGAAAGCACATTCATAAGTTATACCACATTGTAGAGGAAAAGCTGAGTGAAACATGAATGTGGGGAGAGTTTAAAAGAAAGAGCTGAGGAAAATCTCTGACTGTCATCTGGCATTGACTAAAACATTAGTTTAGTCCAGGTGTATACACTTGTATATGCATAAAACAATTTTTTTGCATTCCCTTGTTTGACACATAATTTATTATTAAAATGCCTTACTTCAAATATAAAATCAAATGTAAATTAATTTTAGTAAATTTTGGATTTCTATCCACTAATTATCTCTCTCAGATGTGACATTTAGAACATTCTGAAATAAATGTTCTTAGTACCCTTAATGGACCCCAAGATAACTGATAGCAGCATTGATGTGAATACTTGGCCAGAGTACTTTAAACTGCACACAATACCCTTCAGTCCACGAAATCATATGCTCCAATATGGAAAATTGACTTATCACAAAATTCATTTTCACTAGCTGTCAAAATTTGACCCTGAAAATGAAATTTGATTGCAGTCCATGCCTAAGCCTGCCAGATCTTTGAACATCCTCACTCCTATTCATTCTCTCCATTAAAAACTAATCTGATAGTTAATAGCACTAAGGAAAATATTTTCTTACTGATGATTGTAGTGAGAGGCCTGCAGCAAACAAGATGAGATATGCTGATCCTCCCATCAAGGCCAGGACAAGGAAATTTGTGAAGACACGAAACCAAAACAGTTCACACTTTTCATTCAAAGTACGGGTCACTGAATAACTCTGTTCAGCGATGGCTTCCTGTTAAGTGACAATGCCAATAATAATGGAGGATTTTCAGTTTCTTTTATGGGGATTTATGTTAAAGAAAATTGGTCGCAAATAATAATTTTTATCGCTAAACCAAAACAAAGTAAATTATTTAGAGTGTGTATGAAGGCTGTTCATCACTCACTGAGTTACAAAACATTTGAGAGGCGAGGTTGTATTTGTTTAAGAGCCAGAGGCTGGAAAGGAGCTCCTACAATTTCAGGTGCTGTTCAAGTATCACGGAGGTTTGGTGATAACCTAACAAAATTGACTACGCAACTGTGTTATGGGTTTCAGGTGGAGAGCTTCTGACCCAGGAATCAGGAAATGGGAGTTGATTTAAAGCCAGCCAAAGAGAAAATTTTGGGTCAAGGTGACTGAAAGATGCTGGTCAGTCAGTGTACCCTACAAGAGATTCTACTAACTAAAGTTACTATTCCCTGGCCAGCCAGTGTGCCCTAGAAGGGATAGTCCCATACCCTGCATGGTCAGCCTGTGCCTTGGAAGATAAATAAGTTAGTAAATTGTGGCCTTGGAGGTATACCACAGGCATGAGAAACCAGTGAGGGCTACTTTCACAGGTGGTTCATACTTTGCTCTCCTTGATTTCAAGTCTACCTAAATTAATAGATTTTTTAAAATATCTGAAACAATGTGTACAGTTCACGCTTGCAGCAACATAATTTTACAGTCTGTGAGCATTCCCGTAGTCATTAATCAAGGTTATGAATTACCCTTAAAGTAGCAACTATTCAAATACTGACCTGAAGTTCATTAAAAGCACTTTTATGTTTTAACAATGACGCGCTCCTGTCAGTGATTCCATAATCCCAAGAGCAAAACACTTTTGATGCATAGAAACTAAATTCATCCCCAGAGTATATGTAGTTCTCTCTGTAGGAGTTTGCCATACTAGACATAATGAAAAAACAGTAACTTTAACTTTTATGGCTAGTATAAAGCAGAGATGGGAATTAAAGTCACTGTATTGATATTTTTAATGTTTAAATGTTAATACATTTGAAACTCGACTGTCAAATCACTAACAGAAAATAGCTTTCCGGGAGCTGTTAATGCTGAAAGATTCCAGAAATGGGCCCGTGGGTGGAAAGAGGCATTATGAGAGTATAGTGTCTAGCCTATGAATACAATATAATGTTCTCCATGAGAAGTATTGTGAGAGTTGACTATCTGGTTCAAGAACTCCACAGAATGCATCCACAGGGCATGACATCTACACTCCACAGGGCATGACTCTCTGTCACTTACAGCAAGAGAAAGTGGGAAAAACTTTGACTGACACCCAGGGTCACCAACAACTGTAGGTGCTGGACTTCAGCCTTAATGGCCTATCATCAAAAATGCTTTATATTGCACGTTCGTACAGTGGTAAGAACATATGCCCCTCCTATTAATCAGTTTGGTTGTATATTTACCTGTACACAAGCATTACCAAACACAACAGCAGATAGCCACCTCCAACACACAGGTATGCCATGGGCATGTTATACTCAAAATCATCTACTTCAGTTATACGTTGGTTGGTGTATGCACCATAGTACAATTCTGTGGCAGCAAACCAGCCCTAAGGCAAAAATCAGACACATAAAATTTATTTTAATGTTAAAGCTACATGTATAATCTTAACAGGTAATTTAGTGTTACCAACTGGGTTGAAAACGTAAATTAGCCACCGTAAAGGGTAAAAAAGCTGACGTTTCGAGCGTTAGCCCTTCGTCAGACAAAGGGCTAACACTTGAAACGTCAGCTTTTTTACCCTTTACGATAGCTAATTTACGTTTTCAACCCAGTTGTTAACACTAAATTACCTGCTATACTTTCCCACCGACGCAGCACCACAGTTACTTTAGAAACTTACCCCTTTATGTATAATCTTAAGCTGTTATGTAATTAGAAAGGGTTAATATGGGGTGGCAACCTTCAACCTAACATCAAAGTTTTGTTTTAACACCCTGCTTCCCTCTCAATTTTTTTTCATGTCTTCCAATTTTCTTGTTACTAGCATCAACAACTAAGGGGGGAGGGTGGGAGGTTGTTTCCACACTTATGAGGAAGATTTAAGAGTTTTCATCACTAGATGTACTCCAATTTCCCAAATCAAACAGAAACACCATTTGAAGTTACATTATTTTTGTTTCATGAACACAAGTGTAGCAGGATAACACTTTGCCGTGAGTACAATATTTATTTTTATTACTCAGTATAACACCTCACCAGTCAACTGCATAGTGTGATTCCCTGGGTAGGGCCAGGATTGTTTTGAATGATAGTGAGTGATGCCAATGATAACATAGGGAGATGCTGTCATCTTCTGGCCAATAATTACCCTCATGTTATTGAAACATCAGTCACCCTTATCTGAACTACCCTCCTGAGGCTCCATAATACAGCTGTAGAAAACCACACTACATAATCACCTGGTATTACTCTTGGATTCAAGCCATTTACTCTTTAATTGGCTATTACCTCTCCTGTGAGCAGTTCCCATCCTGTGAAAGAAGCATTGTTGCTCTCTGAGCTCTGACCATAGATCATTTGTGGTATGAACAGGAAAAAGATTGTTAACAGCAGTATCACAATGTTAAGAAGGAACAGCCAGCGCAGTAACACAAAGTATGACATCACTCCTGAACCAAACATTCCTGAAGAAGAAAGAATATATTCATATTGATTGATAACAGGTTAACCAGCAACCCTACAGATAGATACTGACAATGATCACCCAGAATAAGAAAAAGATATTGAATAACTGAGTGTCATGATTGTGAAGACTAATATTGGAGGGAAGGTGTTGTAAAGATAGTAACAGAGGAGGATGAAAGTCTCTTGACTAGCAAGGAAGTCACTATAGCAGCCAAGCCACACGTACCTGTCAACACAACACTGACAAACAGGTATGTGGAATGAATTCCCACCCAGAGTTGGGGGGGGGGAAGGGGCCAAAGGAAAGAAACAAAGCAAACCACAGAGGTAGGCATCCACTCATGTACAAGCACATGTATCAGCCCACTGTTCATGTAACATCTTGGTCACTATGAACAACAATTAAGTAATAATAATTAACCCTTTACCCCCCAAATATCTATCCTAACAATATCACTCCTGAATCTAACATTAAGGTCACAAGAATAAAGGAAATGATCACCAACTAAAGAAGCTCTTAATTGTCAAACAAATTCTCCTTGGTAGCAGCTTAAGAACTGTACAGAGAACGGTAAGGAGAATATGCATAATGATGTTAGGGTGTTAAAGGTCAATATGTCCTACATCTAGCACTAACCATGAATTAATTTTAGATGACCCCTCCACAAATCCAAAGAATACAGAATCTCTTTACAGCCATCCTTAAAATGCTGCCAGCCCTGATAAAAGTGTACAAAATAACAATGTTTAACATGTGAAAGTTCAATGAAGCAATAGCTGGTACATGTAAGTGTTGTTTATGATAAGTATGTAATGTGTAGACTAAATCTATTTAAAATAATCAATTAAAGAATCAATCAAAAAATAAATTAAATTATCAACTCAAATCAAATTGTAAATTTACCATTGCAAATGCAAACTTGAATTGTTTCCAGGCACTAATTCGCTTTGTTTTCCCCCTTTGAATTGCTGATGTGGCAACATTCTCTCTGCAAAACCATAAGTCAATTAAGGTTATTGATCAGATCACACGTCAGTTCCATAATATCTTACTGAATTTTTCATTGCAACAACTTTCAATTATAGTTTGATAATCAAGCTGTTTCTAACTCTTAAGGTTGAAGAATGAGTTTCAAAATATACACACTTTAAGACATTGTATATTAGCTGCAAAGGGAATTCAACAACTGTGACAACCCATTCTGTGTAATGCAGCCTCAAAAAAAATTGCTGCAACACATCACTGTGGAAAGCATCAGCTGCAACAACACACATCAAGTGACACAAGGAATTTCTGGGCAAAATCTTCTCTCAAAAATCCTGCAGCAGTGCTCCAGGGTTTTGTCGGTTCAATCTGTCAAATGCACACAGATTAGTTTTCTTTTTTTTTCTTTGCAACTAATTCCAGAGACAAATTTTAGTCTCAAATAAGTAGCAAGATTTTCATCATATGTCAAAGGAGGTAAATTGTTGTCGCAATCTACAATGTATCACAGCAACTTGTCATCTGGTGGTCTTAACAGAACAGGCCTTATAAATTGACTACCAAGTAAAGCTGACTAATTATTATTGTGCAGTTCCTCATCTCTTTCTGCAATATTTTACAAAATCTTTCCACCATAGCATTACCAAAGGGTGATTGACAACTTCTGGACAATAAGTAATGTGGCTAACCTAAGACTGCGCTTTCGTCTGATTGATGTGGGCATTTCCTTTATAGACTGTCTTCTCTTTGTCAGTTCTGCAAATTCTTCTGGTGTAAACTCTGTATCACGAAGCACTTGATCTTCATAGACCCTTTCAACATCACCTCCACTGTCGTGAGACAAACTTCTCAGGGAGGCACGAGAAGTTTGAGCTCTGCTCTTCAAAGTCCTTCGTACCCCCTTTTTCATTGCATTTTCTGATGGAAGACCCCTGATAGAACGGAACTGGTGACTGGGCATACTCTTTTCCAACTGCTCTCCATATTCCCATGATTCATCTTCATCGAAGTCAGCAGTAACAGCTCCATCCTGATCGTCGACAGGTCTCACTTGAACCAGGCTTGAGGCATTGCTCTGATAGGTGGCTGTAGATGCCATTGACTCTTGGGATAGTACTCTCAATAAATTTCCACCAACATCAGGATCTTTGGTTATTAAGTTTAACAAAAAACCTCAGTGAAATTACTCTAAACTGACCTTCTAAAGAACATTACTGCCACTTTAACCCTTTCACACCCAGGAGTAATTAACTTGTAACTTCTCCCTAAAAAATCTGTATATTATTCAGCCACCAGGTAATGAGAATACTCAAACTTATCAGGAAGAAGTTTTTATCTTGAACTAACACCAAATTCTCTTAACTTATTTACAAGGAATTGTAACAATAATATCTTGGGAGTTAAAGGGTTAAAAAGGATGAAAATAAGGTGTCAAATTTAGTCCAATGTATGTAAGTGTTGTTTATAATACACGAACAGATTGGTAATGATCTGGCACTAAATTCATTACCTCTTGAGATTTTGCCGCGCTGAAATTGTAACATAGCCAGTACGAGTTTTACCAATCTTAGAAGTTTGCCTCGATCGCTTTGCTGCAAGCTTAGTATCAACCCTAGCTATCTTTTGATTGTCACATCAATTATTTATGCTGTACATTAACCCTTAGTTCCAGCATATTATCATCAACCCGACGATTTTCGTAAAGGACCGTTAATTCGTACAGATTTCGTTAAAACGAGTCTCTGGATATTGAAACAAAATATTATGGCCGCAAGTAATACGCGTAAATTCCCACGATTTATCTGAAAGTGTTTTCAAAATTTGCACTTTTGATATCTCCCTTGGGAAATTTACGAACAATAAGCTACCTAATGCTTGGCTATAAACGTAGTGTTTCTTTTTCTTCCCGACATTCATGCGTTTTAGGATTAACCTCAAGATTTCAACACCACTTCATAAAACCTTGATGGATCTGTAGGAAAAAAATTTGATGCGCTTTCCATGATGGTCGAATGTTTGTATAACAGTTCGATTCGTTTTCTTCGTGATCGCAACGCCCTAGGACAGCGCTTTGGGACACCTCTTGTATATTTGAATAGAATCAGAACAACACATCATTAGAGGTATTAGGTTCAACACGAAAGCTGTTTAGATTGACGAATTACTCCTACCTTGATCGATCAACTTGAAATGATGGCTTGTGGCTAGAATCGGACTGATCGCTCGTCTTTCAACCCGAAAGTTTTTAGTAATTGCTATGCAAAGTACGTCACGGCATTATTAGCATATGAGAAATTTTTTAAAGTTTCCATAACAACAAATTTATTCTTCTTTTCGGTAGCTAACGTGTATGGACAAGGACTAATAGGACTGAACTATTATCTCAATAAACCAATTTGTTACGATTCTCACCGTTCAGGACCCTTGCGTTTCTTTCCTCACAATGCCGTATGATCTTTGCACAAACTCAGAGTCAGAGAAGTAGATTTCAAAGATCAGAATTGATTCAGTTTGTTCTGAGCGATCATTATGTAAAACTAGACTTAATTGAACTCATCTAGGCATTCAACAATCAGAAATCAATAGAACTGTTGTCCATCCCTTTAGCTAAGCTGTTTAGAAATAACTCAAGATCTTACCAAAGCTTTTGTTTACAATACCCCCTTCTTCGCTGGACTGTGCATTTCCTTTGTTTCCCTCGGCATTAGGACTGAAGTCGAGAAAACTACTTTGACTCGCAGCTTTAGATAACTGTGCTTTCGATCCGGACATGCCAGAGGATCGACTGATGATCGTAAAATTGAAGTGTTCTATTCGATAACTACAAAAGACCGAAATTTTTCAATACTCTACACCGTCGTAAAGATACAGAGAAAACCTGTGCCCATTCAAACACCGTTTATCAGCAGTAAATCAGTTGAACGTAACCGAAGAATTTTGAATAAATTTGTCCTGTTATTTACCTATGAAAAAGAGTGAGTGAAGTTGTGTGACATACGGAAGTCAAACTGTTCGTTTCCTCCGATGAGGGGGCGGGGAGATGTGAATTTCTGACAATAACCAGTGATTTTCAAAGACCGATGAGTTGGAAGTGGGTTGGATTTGTCGTTCGATTCGCGTTTTAAATAATCAAAAAATAAATAAGGATTCCAAGGAGATTGCATGGGCTGTAAAATGAAAGAGTCCAGAATAATGTGCCGATCAATTCAAAGTTGAACTTCCCCACCCTCCTCCCTTAGCAACCCATAAGCATTTGAACCTTGCCCGGGTGGGGCGGGGAATTTGAACCGCTGTTATACATGTTTTTTTCTCTTTTAATTTTTAATATGAAAGAGTTGAAGGATAAAGGATCCCCTTTCACGAGCAGATGGCTTAGAAGGAAATTTTTACATGTTAGAATTATTCTCACGTGGGAATAACTTAACAACGGTACCAAAAACTAAAATGTGACTTTGCTAAATTCTACAACATCGTGGATAAAAGAAGAGTTCATTCGAAAAAAAAAATTGTACATCAGTCGGGTATCTGGACGCAGTGTTGCCCAGGGGGAGGGGGGAGGGGGGAGGGGGGAATTTTGAACAAATCAATCTTTAAGAGTTCACACGCCGGGGGGCTTTGCCCAGGGAAAATTTTGAATCTTCCAATTGATCGACGCAGAACGCAGTAGAAAGAGCTGAAAGTTCAACTAGTATAGATCGTGTATATGTTTCAATTATGTATACGTACCCCCAAAACCTCCATTCCCATATCCCCACTGATATGTGTATCCCTTTAAACATGGCTGTTGGTTATATGTGTATATCCAAATCTCCCCCCCCCCCTCCCTCTTAGCTCTTGGAGATAAAGATGTCATTCGGCAAAGAGGATTCCGTGATATTAGCCAAAGGGCACTTTCAGAATTTTAATAACTCTATATCGTGTTTGTGTTTCGAACACGTAGACTGCAACTTAAGAAAGAAAGTAATTTTAGATTACGCATTAAACCAATTTTCAGTTGTGTGGCTAAAGTGTTTCGGGATTGCACTGGTTTTTTTAAACTTTTGTCGCTCTGTGATTGGTCTTAAAAACTCGCGCTCCTCTCTCGACCAATCAGATGCAAAACTAAAACCAATTACGACTTGGTCGCCCGCGTATTCTTATGCCTTGGCACTTTGGTTTTGTTATTTCCATTGGCTCTTAAAGATATTTTATATTTCCTGATTAGCCGTTGTATTCACCTAAATTTTCGTTTTACGACACTCAATGGAAAAGCGCTAAGGTGTTGTCTGAGTTAAACTGGCATCAAGAGATACCAGCACCAATGAATAAAGCGGCGTTTCTGAGCAAATGATTTAAATAATACACTTCCCACTCGAATATAAAACATGATCCTTTAATTAGAAACATTTCTGAGTAATGGATTTTCTTTTTTTATCACGAGTATGATTACAGATCAAATTGGACGACACGAAGTCTTATTATCAATTAATCATAAAAATTACAATTTACAGGGAAAAGATGAATAGCCAAGTTGTGAAAGAAACGGAAAATTTACATTAAAAGACTGACGATTGGTTGATTTAAACTACAACTTTGAATGTGATTGGATTATTGAACTGTCCGATAACAAACTGTGCGATGAGAACTTGACAAGTGAATTAGAGTTTTTTAAATCAATCACGATCGCGGAAATTGTAATTTTTATGATTATTTTATTTATTTCCCACATTCAGTCTTATGACGAAATTCCTAATCTCTTCATCTTTGTTGCAAGACTAAACAAACTACCTGTCATTTCGTCTGTTTACTGTTAATTTCAATTTTGTGAAAGCCTGTTGCACAGCGATATACAAAACTGGAAAAGTGTGATCAGGAAGACACATAGCACAGAACTACGCCTCATGGGGAATCAACGTGCAGGACTTCTCTCGCGTATCGATAAATAAGCAACACTGTCGCCACAGGCTAACCTAGCTCCATATACAAGTACATCTGCTATATTTTGTTGTTAAGCAACGGTAGAAACGTTAGGATTTACATTGGTAACATGGTTGTATTAAGAAACCAAAATTTGAAAAAGGGGAAAAAAAAATTTGGCTTTAGTCGTGTGTTTCTTTGTCTTTCTTGTTAAGGGAAGATTCATAGGTAGCTAACTTTGGTTTAAAACGAACTTAAACTGATATTAATTGCTATATATCTGTCTAAAATTCCCATCATATAGAAAGAAACGCGAGACTGAAGCAAGGAAAGCTACGTCTTTTCTAGAAATATCTCTGAAATTTTTTTTCGTCCTGGAATGCGTCCTGTTACGCAATAAAGATATAACGTTAATATCATCGCAAATGAAGAAGATATACAAATATTCTGCCTCTTTGAAAACGTTTAGACGCCATTTCCAGCTGAGCCACAAGCTTTATGTTGGGAGGAAGGCAAGTTTTAGCGATTTCTGTATTCTTCGTATATCATTCAGGAATGTGTCGTGTTGGTAGGTTTGAAGATCTTACACCAAATGAAGCACTGTAATGATTGTTTGGGTTTTGCGTAGGCCCTTTCAGGGAGAGTTTCATTAGAGTTGTGTAAACAGTTCCTAAAAGTGGAAAATCTCCTGAGGGGCACAAAAAGATGACCTTTCAGGCCAATGAAATACATCTCATGCATGTTTTATGAAACCAGTTCGCTATCTTGCAAGGAATCCCAATTTAGCTTTTGAAACATCTTCTAGACTTGACATGCAAACTGCATGGGGCAACTAGCACTTAAATCATTCATGGTTTGCAGCGTGGCAGTTCAGTTGGTGTATTTAATAATCGTTAATTTCTTCCACCAAAAGAAATCGCTAGGACACCATTGCATCAACGTTTCACTTCTACGATACTGCCACTTTTAGCGTTTATCGGAAGAAGCAGTTGCGTCCTTAGAAGCTAATTCAACAGCCAAACTCCACTCAACATAGCGGCTTATTGCGAACAAGTTACGCTTGAAAGAGTCAATGGTGTTTTGAAAGGAAAGACATGGCAGCGGTCTTCATTATCTTCAAAATACTCTGTCTTCTCTCACAGGTATTTCTTCTAATTAATTTTTCCCTACGCTTCAAAGCTAAACATCGAAAAAAAAATTAAAACGCTTACTTGATGATTGTTTCAGATATTTGAAAGTTTCCAAGCGACAACTTCAAGTAAGTTTTCTCACGTACCTTAAGAATCCAGAAATAAATATTGTTCAAAGAACTTTTTCGACAGTTAGTCGTTGTAACTCTTCCAGCGTTAAAAATCGAAAGTCGTACAGTACAGGAGTAAAACTCGTCTCATGAATATGGATAGCTAATGAATATGGAAGGTCTGTAAAGTGTCTACCTATGTAAATCTTTTTTGTTTCTCTAAAGTTAGAATTCTCCATGATAAATTTTCTTTTCTATCTTTGTAATTGTGACACCAAAGTTTTAATGAAACTCTACCAGATTCTGTTCGTTTTGAAATACCTAGGGAGCCGTAAAGAATCATACGATAAGAAGCCTAGTGGATTTAGGACAAATGCAAACAACCTTTTGTTAAATACTCAATATTCAACCAAAATTTTAATTCTTCATTTTCCGTTATTTTTGTGTAAGCGAGGATTTTCATCAAAAGGAAACCGGCTGCCATTGGAAGTGTGAACTGTGAAGTCTTTTTAGTAGTTTAAATCATGGGACCTACCTACTTTGTTAAGTCAGAGAGAGAGAGGGGTAATAATCAAAAGATTGGGGAAAAAATTGTACCTTGTTATTTAACAAGTTAACATCTGTCTTCACATAAATTTTTAATAACCACTTCAACTGTGGTAGCGATTCTTATTGATACTAACAAAAGGCTCCTTAAAACTTGCGAAATTAACGGTTCTCTCAGGTGTACTTTTCACATAATTAACTCTTTGTTTTTTAGCGTTTTCATTAAAAAAAACTTTTCTCCTAGTCTCTAGAACTTAGCAATTTATTCCGTCTATTATCTTCAGAGCTAATTTAGAGAGTGAAAACACCCTTGTTAAATTTCGTTGCTAGGAGGCTTTGAATGACACTCAGATCATGTGATATAATTTACCGTTTATTAGGCAATTCTCGAGAACAAGATTGAAAATTAATTTAGCGTAGTGTGAACGAGGTGAAGTTTAGAACTACATGATTCGCAAGAAAGCCTCCCAACTTGGGTTGATTCAATGGTTGATTCAATGGTTGATTCAATGGTTGATTCAATGGTTGAATCAAAATGAAGAGCGAGTGTTTTTGCCATTTCTAAGCTTAACTGCAGGCCAAATATAGCTGGCATTAAAAATACAAATTTGAGATATACAAACGGCGTTTCGCTTAAGTAGAACCAAGAAAATTGGGAAAGAATTTGTGTATAAAAATTGCCTGACGGAGCAAAAAATGCAAACGTATGAGA